GTTTTGGAGTCATCGATTGCATAACTGCATCCATTGCAACAGATCTGCTTTCAATGTTCTCAATTCACTATTCTTATAACGAGTTTAGCACATATGTGAAGAGCACAGCTCAATAAATATGGACTTCAAAATTACAGGAATTCAAGAGAGGGAAAAAGGTAAGGCAAGGTCAACATAAAACCTGCACCCCAGACTAGAAAAGCCAGTTGAAACGGAAACTTGGCTGAAGCCCCCTATAGAGGGTGAGGGAGTCTTTGCCACCAAAACAAATCTTTGCCCCATAGCCTAGGATCACCGAGGCAACCAGCAATACACGAGTCAGGCTAGAGGCTCCAGTTCTTCAGGGGAACCTGCTTGTCTGGGTGGTTTCTCCCCAAGGATCCCTAGACTTCTAAATAGGATCCTCAGGCCATTCTTGGCTGGGGAGTTCTGAGCCTTGGCGCTTAGGGCACAAACCTTTCTGCCCTGGTGTACCCAGGAGTGGGCGGGGTCCCAGTCTGGTGAACAAGTGATCTCAGCCGGCAGGTTTGACGACGGTCTATAATCACTGAGCCATTGAGCATACTTATAGCGTGCAAATACATTCCTTGTATTAACCCGTTCATTCCCCCCAACAGCCTGAAGAGGACTGTCCCCATCCCATTTTACAGATGAGGTAACTGAGGCACAAGGAAGTGAAGCGACTTGCCCAGGGCCTCCCAGCTGTTGCCCTGATTTTGCCAGGGCCGGGGATAGTCGGAAAGCCAGGCTTGACGCACACGCGGCCAGCGCAGGTCAGCGGCTGCAGACCAGAGAGTCGGGGCGCGGAGCCAGGCGAGCCCCGCCCCCGCTGGCCGCCGCAGCCAATGGGGCGCTCGGCCCGGAATGGGGTGACGCGGCGTCAGCGCGTCCTCCCGGGAGCCGGGCCCTGGGTCACATGCGCCGTGTGCGTTGGACCCGGGGGCGGGGAAGGGCCGGCGCTGGCGGGCTGGGCGTTCTCCGCCTGACACCTGGCTGGGACTGAAGCCAGGTGCGCATCTTGGGCTCCCGAGCGAGCTGACCCTGGACGGCCCCGGCGGCCTTTTGCTGTCCGGACTGTGCGGGCGTGCAGGGAGCGTGGGGTTCCTCCCAGGTAACCCAGTCCGATCCCTTGCCTGACCTTGGTTTTATCAACTGGGACCCACTTCGTCCCCGAGGGTCGTACAAACTGGAAGGCAGCTGCTATGGGTTCCCAATCCTTTGGGGCACCTGCCAGGTATTGAGCGTGGGCAGAGCCCATAGGATCAGTGGTGCTGAGCCATGCCCCAGGTGCCTACAGCAGGTTCGATTTGGAGGGGCCCGCGCCTTTGAGGGTTTACTAGGCTAGTAAGACTGCTCCTTCAGCCCCTGCCACTCTGCCTGGCCCTATTATTGACATTGCTACAAGAGCTGAACTAGGATGTGCCTGGGTTATGTCCCCATCTCTAGAAGAGAGACCAGAGTTCTCCTCCTTCCATCTCTCCATCTGTATATCATAGAGCCCGATGACCATGACATGGACGATTCTGGTCCTAGATGTGGCTTCATTCCAGTTGGCCTCTTCAGTGAGCTGGACAAATGATTTCTAGTCCTCTCAGCCTCCACGGCCACCTTTACCCATGGAGGCTTGGACAGTTGGTGGGCACTTCTTTTTTTAAAAAAATTTTTTTTAATATTTATTTTTTAGTTTTTGGCGGACATAACATTTTTGTTTGTATGTGGTGCTGAGGATCGAACCCGGGCCGCACACATGCCAGGCGAGTGTGCTACCGCTTGAGCCACATTCCCAGCCTGGTGGGCACTTCTAGCCACTTGATAGAGCCACAAAAGAGCTGGTTGAGCCCCAAAGCCTATTGCACAGTGAGGGTGAGGTTCACAGACTGAGAGGAGGGATGGGATCCCTATTCCTTGGGGCTACCTGGCTGTTTGGGGAAAGGCCAAGTGCATATTGAAGGGGAGTCACAGAATAGTGTGGGTCTAGTTGGTGGCAGGAAGGCACAGGACCTCAGGCATCATCTGACCCCCATCAGTCAAATACAGTCATAAGTGGGTTATGACTTTGAATTGTCAAAAGAAGGAAATTTCACCTCGTAGCTGGATTGCTGCCCTTTGTTTCTTTAGTGGAATTGTGGGTCAGCCTTGGACTTGACAGTTAGCTGCCTCATGAGCCCCATGGTCCCTACCATTTCCTGGTGTCACACCCAGCCCACTTTCTCATTTATAAATGAAAGTAGGCACTGAATTTCTGGCCCACAACCCCATTTTACAGACAGGATAGTGAAGACCAGAGAGGAACAGTGATTTACCCAGCACCCCAGGCAAGCTGCGTTTAGAGTAGCAGCCTTAGAGTGAGGAGGAGATGGCCCCAGACATGGAGTCCACTCCACTTCCAGAAATATCCCAGACTGACTCACTGGTGCAGAAAGTAGAGGTTTTGCTTCCTGAGATGATGAGGGCATGGCCTCAGAGGCCCTAGACAGGGCATTTGTGGGCCACCCAGAAAGCTCCAACAGGGTTCCCTCTGAAATACCTGGATAGACTCTCTGGGTGAGTCATGCCTATCCAACATGTCTGGGTTCTGTCTCCCTTCTAAAAACTTTTTCTTGGAGTACTGGGGATGGAGCCCAGAGGCACGCTACCACTGAGCTGCATCCCCAGCCCTTTTTTAGTTTTTGAGACAGGGTCTCGCTAAGTTGCCCAAGCTGGCCTCAAATTTGAGATCCTCCTGCCTTAGCCTCCTGAGTGGCTGGGGATTACAGGCGTGTGCCATTCCTTCCAGTCAGACAAAGACCCTTTTCTTGGAAAAGAGGTGAATGGGCAACGATTCCCTTCTCAGGTGTTCAGGCAGAGACGAGTCGGCAGATGGCCATGAGCTACTGCAGGATACCAGTGCACCTGCACTGCTCCCTTCCAGATTTCTGGAGAGGGAATCTATAGTGGGAAAGCAGCTCCTGTCCTCTCAGGGCTCCAATGACATGACTGGAAGCAACTGAGGACTGAGGAGGGAGCACTGAGAGATGAGTCCAGAAGTTTGTCTCTGTCCAAGTCTGTGTCCCCAGGAACATCACTCCCGCCTCTGGCCCTCTCCATTGACACCACAGTGACCATGTACTGTTCACGCCTACCCAGATTTCATCCTTTTTCTGCTAACAACCTGATTTTCAGGGTCAGTTCTTGGACTTTTATGGGAACTATTGGGAAAGAAGCATCTTCTGCCAGTAGGATGTCCGCCTCCAGCTGCAGGGAGCCTACAGTCAGCCACAGAGAAGAGCCAACCCAGAGAAAGCAGAGCCAAGACACACAGAGAGGCAGATTCCTGATCAAATCCATAAGCACCTGGATTCAGCTATTCCTGAAGCTGATATTCAGTTACTTAAACCAGTAAATTTTCTAATTAACCAATTTCTGCCACGACCAAAAAAGATCCCATATTTAATTTCTGAGAAATTTGGCCTGCAAACTCCCTTCATCATGGACAAAGAAGTCCTAATGCTGCTAAACATTTCCACACAACCCCCGCCCCTTTTTTGGCATTGAAGATTGAACCCACGGGTGTTTTACCACTGATCCACATCCCCAGCCTTCTTTCATATTTTATATATAGACAGGGTCTCTATGAGTTGTAAAGTGCCTCGCTAAGGTGCTGAGGGTAGCATTGAACCTGTGATCCTCTTGTCTCAGCCTCCTGAGCCGCATGTGCCGCTGCCCCTCTTTTTTAGGAATAGCTACTACTGTATTTGGGGAAATTCACTTTAGTGAATGCTCACCAGGGATCATGGAGTCCCTCCCAGGAGGCTGGTCAGCCGAGTCAGTTGCATGAGTGCCCTCCCCTTCTTGCTGTTGGCCTATGGACTGAAGCGGCTCTTTGGCAGCTGAGTGTTCTGGGGCTCAGCTACTCCCAGAGGGCAGAGCCTTACCTCCCTGCAGACCCTGGGAGAGGACTCTAGGGCTTCTGAGCTACAGATTGTCCTTGATTCTGGGAACCCAGCTCCCCAAGGGCAGGACTGGAGCCACCCTCCCTTTTCCTCCCTCCCCTTCAGCACCAACCTGGCAAAGAACAGGCTATCAGGGACATTGGCTGAAAGCACGAGTTGACCGGGTATCCTGGCAAGTCCAGGGTAGTGTCTCAGGTCTGACCTGCTCTCCACAGGCAGGGACACTGTTCAGGCCTCTTTCAGGGCCATAGTGCATGACTGTGGTGATGGCCGTACAACCCTGTGCCCTGTGCCCATACCCCAAACTACTCAATTGTACACTTTTAAGTGGGTAAATAGTGATGATTTTTAATTTAATTTTAGGTATTTTTTATGGAACTAGGGGTTGAATCCAGGGGTTCTCTACTGCTGAATTACGTCCCCCAGCCCTTTTATTTATTTATTTATTTTTATATTTCAAAAGATGGTCTTGCTCAGTTGCAGAGGCTAGTCTCAAACTTGTGATCCTCCTGCCTCAGCCTCCCAAGTATCTCCCAAGTAAACAGTGCAGTTAGCTGGTGATGTCAGTTTTATCTCAATAAAGCTGTTATTTTAAAAAAAAAAAAAAAAAAAGAGGTGAGGGGAAGAAAGATCTGTCTGCCCTGGAGCAGTGGCTCTTCAATTCAGTGCTGGGCATAGGCTCTGCCGAAGATTCTGATACCTGACCAAAAGCGGAGCCCAGCTGAGGTGGGCTCAGGGTGTGCCTCCAGCCTGCTTGCTCTGGGCAGGGGTGACTGGCCTCCCTGTGCAACTCTGGGACCTGGGGTAAGACACAGGAAGACCTATAGCACCTGGCCCTAGAGTTCTCAGGCAGGCTGTGACGGCTTTGTGGCTGCTACCATCAGTGGCTATCTGTGCTTAGTGCTTAGGGATTTTTGTGGCCCAGCAGCTGGGCAGCAGGGAAGAGGGACAGGGCATTCCTGGCTGCTCCCCCAGCACAGCCCTGTGGCAGCCCCTGATGAAAGGCAGGTGGTCTGACCTGGCAGGCCCCCCAGACAGTCAGAGCAAACGCCACAGAGGCCACCCAGGAACAGTTTGTTCAAGTATTTATTTATTGTGGATTACTTTACATGCAAGAACCCAAACTAGAGAGATGGTATCTGGAAGGAGAGCCAGTGGGGCAGGTGGATGCTCCAGTGTCCCTCTGAGACATTCGATCACTGACCCACCCTCCAGAACCAGCTCTGCCCACAGAAACACAGGACAGTGACAAGAACACCAGACTTCTGGAACGAGGGGACAAAGGACTCAACACATTCCTCTTCTGGAACAGTCACAAATTAAGTGCAAACTTCAGGAAATAAAGATCCATTCCCCATTCTCCAGGAGAACCTGGAGATTTGGGACACTGTGACAAAATCAGTCATGATGCAGCGGTTGACAGCTGCTCCGGAGTCTGGTGGCCACAGGGGAGCCTGGCCTGGATCCCCATGGACAGCAGGGCTGGAGACGGGCCTGGGAAAGGCAGGTACTACAGGGCCCGAGCATCTTTGGGGTGGGAACATTCCTTGGGTGAGGGAGAGTGGCTGTTTCCCTGTGTGGCTGAGCAGGAGGAGAAGCCCAGATGTCTCATCAGCAGGCTGACAACAGACCATGGAGTCTCGCAGGCCCCATCTGGTAGTGCAAGAGGCTAAGAGCAAGCACTTCTCCCTGGGGCTCTTCCCCAGCTGCCAGGGGGGTGATCTGGCTCCTAGGAGGCCCATGGCCCACCCTGAACCATCCAGAACCACCCTGGGCTCCAGTTGGAGGGGCATTTGCAGTGACAGGGAGGAGGGACAGGAGTGGGGTATGGAGGAAGGCAGGAAGGGAGGAGGGACAGGAGCACTACAGCCGGGCCTGCAGAGCCCTGGCCATCACTCTGAGCTGAGAACACTACGGGGTGCCCAATTCTCACCTCCTAAGGGGCTGCAGTAACAGCACAGGCCCCAGGACCACTGGGTGGGAGAGAGGGAAGGACAGTGAGCCAAGGCACGGTCACTCACAGAGGGGCTGACAGACAGACGGGAGGACAGACATAGACAATCATTTTTCCCTCTGGCCTGGGCTGACAACAAGCCCTTTCACTTCTGAAACCCCGTGTCCCACGACTATTGATAAACAAGTTGGTCATTCTCAGTCTGGCCACAGTCCAGCTGCTGTGTGCCTGGGCAGGGACCACTCTGCAGCAGGCAGGCCAGAGCCTGCCACATGGGGGTCAAACTGCATATAGTGCCATTTACTGTTGCCCGCTGGCCAAAAAGGTAGGCAGGAGGAAACAGTTAGTCTTCACATCTCAGCACACAATGAGCACAAAAAAAGGTTAAACACATCCCCAAGAAAATATTTTGACAAAATAAATATTTTAACCTATAATCAGGTATAATTAGTGCTTATGAGGAATCCCAGCAATAATTTAGTGTAATTAAGTACATACTGTATCTGTGATTTCTAACACTTCTGGAGGCTGGTGGCTTGCTAGGGTCCAGCGTTCCCACCAGGGCTCTGCTCCCTGCCCTAAGCAGGTGGCCTCAGGACTGTGCTCCCCAGATGGCAGGGTAAGTGGGAGCCAGAGGTCTCAGATAACACCCCTGCAAGAGCTGAGCAGTGCGTCCTTCAGGGCACCCACCTGTACACGCTCCCAGGGCAGGCCTCAGGCCTGTGTCCCCTCTGCTTACAGGAGGGACAGGCTGCCTCCTGACAGGATGCAGGAGCGGGAGATCTCTGAGTCACCAGCTCCAGGCCACAAAGGCAGGGGACCTTTGTCTGCACGATAGAGGACTCCTGCTGGCCCACAGGGGTCCTTCACCAGCTGCTGCCACAGGGCTGCCAAACCTCTCCAACCTGTACCAACCAGCTGGAGCTGGATTTGGGGGACAGCTTTGGACATAGGACTTTGCTGGGGACCCCAGGATGGCATCTATCTTAGCCTCACTCACTTCAAAAAGAGCTCCCTCTTTCTCTCTACACCCTCCTCAAGGTAGGAGGCTGCTGGACCTGGCTGCCATCACCTGTGGCTCCGGCAGGCTGGCCAAGGTGGGCTCTGACCCCCAGACTGTTCCAAAGAGCTGAGACCTCTGGGCCACCCCAGTTACCTTCTCTTTAGCTTGACCCAAGCCAGCCTCCTTTTGAAGTTTTATACATAAGCAGGCCTCAGGAGCTCTGCCCTTGAGAGGTGCTGCGAGGGGCGTGTGCTGACCGATGGCCAGGGAGCAGAGAGTAGAAGAGGGACATGGGCTCCAAGGAGGAGAGGGCTGGGAGCTCTGAGGAGGGGCTTCCTGGGTGTCTCCACAGAACTAGGCTGAGCATGGGGTTCTGGGGTGGGGCTATTCCTGCTAGTACTCAGCAGGGCCCTTACTGCAGACCTGGCCCTAAATGCTTCCCAGAACCTGGTCACTGTCCCTGTGCCTGTGCAGCTGGCCTCCTTTCCCTGCTGGGGCTGGTGCTCTGGCGGTGATAGGTGCATCCTCTGGGCCATCCTGTCAAATGGGAAGGAAAGGTTGTCAGCGGGACCAGGGCTTGGGTAGTGCTGTGAGTTCATGGCCAAGGGACACACCAGCAAGGGCACAGGACAGGAGCAGGTGTCACCAGCCCCCATTTGCTTAGCCCCAGGCTGTCAGCTTTCAAGGTCTGTTTGGGAGAGACTGCAAATTAGTGGCCGGGGGGACATGTGCAGTGGGAGGAAGTCAGCCTGTCAGGACAGCTTGGGGAGGAGGCCGAGGCCCATGCCAGGGACCTTCATGTTATTCTGGCCACTGGGTCATGTGGAACCTCCAGGCACTGTGCAGTGCTGTCTGCTGATGGCTCTGGAGGGAGGGTGTGGAGGTCACTACAGGCCAGGCCAGAGCCCCAAGCATGGAGTGTAGAAAACCCACGTAACTTCCAAGCAGTCAGAGCAGTGCCTCCTACAAGAGCCTCCTGCACACCCCGGAGCCAAAGTATGTGGGTGTGAGTGTGCAGGATATGCGGAGTGGGGGTCTGGTTTATGGTAATGCTACCTGATCAGCGTGCCACATGGCCATTTGTACAGGTTGCATGTTGCCCTCCTGACTTTGAGCCACAGGTCCTTCTGGGGCCAGTTAGAGCCAAGCTCAGCTGCTCAGCCAGCTGGGGCACAAGGCCTGGGCCAACAGGTGATTGATGGAGAGAGGGTCAAGGGCATGAAAGCCACATGTGGGTGCCCCATAGACCTGCTCTAAAGTGCCAAGGTGCCACAAGGTGACATACAGTCAAAGGACAGAGACTGAGCCTGTAAGTACAACCAACTGAGCCCTGCTCTTCCAGAAGCAGTGGCACAAAGCCCTTTCTGGAAGAGGGGGCAGCATGCCTGAGGGAAGCCACCGGGCCATGCAGAGGCAGGGCACATGTGGCAGGCGGAAGCCTGACCCTCTTCTCCATGGGCAGGTGATGGGGAGACAGTCCATGGGATCTGCTCAGGAACAATGTCATGGGGGCTTCCCCCACTGGGGCCAGGCCACTGGCTCTTCCTGGGAGAACACACAGCCAGTCAGGGAAGCCTGGTAGGCGGGGAGCAGGGCCTCACTGCAGCCTCTGTCCCACCACTTGGAGAAAGAGTGGTGAAAGCTGGCCCTGACTAGGGGATGCCTGGGAACAAACAGTGGTGTTTCCATGGAGACACGGGTGTGCAAAGGAGCGGGTCAGGGGCGGGGAGGAGTGGCCAGTGCCCAGGGTCCACTGGGGGAGCAAGCGGTAACCTGCCATGGTGGAGGCAAACTGCAGAACAGCTCACAGGGCGAAGAGGGCATCCTCTGACCGCTCTGGCTTCTTCCGGCCAGAAGGGTTTGAGGCTGGGGTGGGGGCCTCCACGGGGGGTGAGGGGAGGTCAGGAACCATCTCAGCAGCTTTGGCTCTTTCTTCCAGGAACTTATCAAATTCTGTAATACAAACCAAGGCAAGGGCCTGGGTTGGTGGAGGGTATAGCCCACCTGTTCCCTAGAGTTCATTCCACTTCTCCCTGTAGGTGTCTCCCCACCTGCACCCCAATGCCTCCCAGCTTCAGCCTGCACGACACTGTGGGGCCACCAGCTGGGAGGGAAGGGGGACAGTAGGAGGAACAGCCAGAGCATGGGTGCTTCTAGGGACCAGCCCCAGGGATCCTCCCCACTCCCTTACCTGTTTCCCCCCCTGCCTTCTGTAAGACAAGTAGGGGTGGGGAGGGCTACATGCATTGCACTGTGGGGAAAGATGGGGAGAGGACTCCCTGAAGGCCTGTGAGCTGGAAAACAGCGCAGAGCACCTACCCTCCTAATCCTCACCTCCATCGGCACTGGGGGCAGGGCAGGCAGAGTCAGTAAACTCCTCCTTAGACTTGGCAGAGAACACCTGCCCTACCTCACCAGAAACAGGAAGGGGCTAAAGAGCCACTAGGGAAGGGGGTCACCCAGCACAGAGGGCAGGTCTTTGAGGTGCTCTGCCTGGGCCATCTGACCACAGGAGCAGGGGCAAGAGGGGCATCGACTGGGTTGTGCCCCAGGAGGGTTGTGCCCACTGTTCACCAGCCCTGTGACCTTCTGAAAGTCATGTTCTTCCTGATCTCTGTTTCCCTTAAAGATGGGGAAAATGACACTCTGCATCTGCATGAGACTGGACTGGACCAAGTCCCCATGCAGGCAGTGGCTCAGGGCCTGGCACCCACAGGGACTCTGACAACAGAGGCTCATGGTGATTGTGCCAGAGCCTGGGGCAGGAACAACAGAGGATAGGGGGTTGCAAGGCCACTGGCTGGGCCTACCTTCACTTGTGACTCCCTCTTCCAGGTCATCGCCCTTCTGTGGGAAGAGCAGAGAGAGCAGCATTAGGGCTTGGTGGTCCCCACTTTGACTGCCCAGCCACCTCTGCCCACCTGTAGCCAAACCCAGGAGAGTACTGCCCAGGGCAGCCCAAGGGAAACTTTCTGATTTCCCTGTTTCCAGATTTCTATAATAGCAAAATACTGCTCTTTCTGAAGAAGCATTAAAAAAAAAAAAAAGCAAAACCAAAAAGTTAAATAAATTGTAGGTTTCGATTTCCCAGAAGGGCCAGAAAGAAAAATCCAAAACTGGTGCAGGATGGGTCCTGGCCTGGGACAAGAAGGGCAGGCCCCACCCACTGACATCCTTTAGGCTCTGGGGAGAGACAGGGGTGGCCACAGGAGACTGAGCAGGAGGTGCACTGGAGTCCCCATATGTGCCCCTCTACACAGGGTACCCGCTGCCAGTGCAAGGGTTCTAGGAAGGCCCTGTCCATACCAACAGCTGGAAGCTGCACAGAGCCTGGATAGCCCCCGGCCTGGTACTCAGGAGGTGCTGTGGCCGTGGAGGCTGTCCCCTGCAAAGTCCTGAAACCTCCTGGGGATTGCACAACCCTCTCCCCACGGCCCAGGTCCCATCCCAGCTGCTGGCTCTGAAGGGGCCGTGGAGGCTGTGCACACATGAAAATGGAAGCACATCACACTTGATTGTGTCTGGAGAACACTGCACATGCTAGGGCCTCATCAGGAAGGAGGCCAATGAAGAGTGAGAACCCTACCCTGGGTTAGGAGGCCTGGGTCCTTTCCCATTCCTGCCACTGACCTGTTCTGTAGCCTTGCTGGACAGGTCCCTTCCCCTCTCTGGACCTGGGGGTCCCCCTTGTAAGGGCCTTAGCCCTTCCTTCTTTGTTTCTGTGAGGGAAGGTATTTCTTTCCCAGGCATCCCCTTCAGAAAGATGTTGTGGGGCCTCTTCTTCCTCCCCTGGCCTGGGTGGCTGCCTCCCTTGGCAGTGTCTTGGAAAGCCTGGCCTCCCAGGGAGGAATCAGTGAGAACCTCAATCTGAGGCCTGCTGTCCTCCTGTAGGAGGTGGCTGAGTCATCAGCCACGGCCACCAGGCTGACCCTGAGATTAAAGCAGTGAAGGGGTTATGCTGCTCTGGGGAGAAGATCCCCCAACAAGGAGACAGCCAGGAGGAAGAGATAAGGTCTCCAGGTCTGCCAGAGTCCTGCCAGCCCATGACCCTGGGAAAGGCACTTCCCAGGGCTGCTGAGGAGGAAAGAGCTTTGTAGGGAACAAAGGGAGGGATCTGTTACCACTTTCAGATTCACAACAACCTCAGCTTCTCACTCTGTTTCATAGGTTGGAGACAATGGCTTTTGGGGGAGGGGTTCTCGTTATTTATTTATTTATTTATATTTTTAGCTGTAGATGGACACAGTACCTTTATTTTATTTATTTTAATGTGGTGCTGAGGATTGAATCCAGTGCCTCACATGTGCTAGGCCAGTGCTCTACCCCTGAGCTACAGCCCCAGCCCTAATTGGGGGAGGGGTTCTTTTAAATCCAAAATTCTAGAAAATATCTGGAAGGGGGATGATTGTCATTTTAAAACGACCCTATTCATCTGTGTGCATATTTCATAATTTAAGAAAAAAAATTAAAAAGGGCTGGGGATATAGCTCAGTGGGTAGATGGCTTGCCTTGCATGCCCAAGGCCCTGGGTTCAATCCCCAGCACCACACACACACACAAAAAAAAAAAAAAAAAGAAAAAGGAAAAGAAAAAGAAATGAGGGCTGGGGCATAGCTTAGAGGTACAATGTATGTTTAGCATGCACAAGGCCACGAATCCCAACCCAATACTGCCAAAATAAAAATAATAATGAAAAATAATAATAAAAAGGAAAATCCCCAAAACAAAACAAAAAAGTACTCCCTCAAAACTCCCCTCAGGGCTGGGGTTGGGGTTCAGGGGTGGAGTGCTTGCCTAGCATGTGTGAGGCACTGGGTTCAATCCTTAGCACCACATAAAAATATATGAAATAAAGATATTGTGTCCACCTACGACTAAAAAGTGTTAAAAAAAACAAACAAACAAAAAAAAACTCCCCTCAGCATGCACACATTTTCGAAATTGAAAAAAAAACTGGGGAGGACACAAGTGCCTGCCAGGAGCCGGCTGTTCTCATGGCGGGGTAGTGTGCCAGCTGGGAACCTGTTCACACTGCAGGACTGTGCCCTGAGCTGCTACCTATCACGGCGGCTGCCCAGGCCTGGTGCTGGCTGTAGGTGCCACCCTGGCCTAGGTTATGTTGGAGAGCAAGCTAAGCTGAGATGAGTGGGGGCTACAGCACCCCGTGTACCCTGACCTCCCTCCTCCACCCACCCTGATGGTGGCGCAGCCCCTGAGGCCTGTCCTCAGAAGAGCCTCTGTCTGGCCACACCCCACACACAAAATAAAAAGTCGAGTCTCACCAGGTCCGTCCTGAGCCACACCTCAATGTCGTCCATAACAGAGGGCTGCGCAACGGGGATCTATGGAGGCGGCAAGCAGCGGGGCAGGCAGCCCCACACAGCCAGGCGAGAGAAGACAGAACACCGGAACAAAGTAAATCGTCAAAGCAACCCCAAACAAAACCAAAACATACACGAGGAAAAAAAAAAACACAACTGGCATGGCACGCACGGGCAGCACAGGGCAGCCACATATGAAATGGCAGGTGAGGAAAGCAATGAGGTGGCAAATTATAAGAAGCAGGGCTGACTGGCAGGGGCCAGCGGCAGGGAAGGTGGCAGTACGCGTTCTTGAAATGGATAACTTTTTGACTACGGGTGTGTGCCCTTCAGTGGTAGGGGCTCTTGGACTTGGAATGCAGAGCACCTTGTGATCTCAGGAACGCGCTGGTGTTGCAGGTTGATTCTGAACTAACTGGCTGCAACTGCAGGAGAAATGACTGCTCTCGGTCAAGCCTGATCCAGGGAGTGACTTGTGGAGCCAGGAGTGGGTTCCTGATGCCACAGGGAGGTGTGTGGCAGCCTGACTGGAGCAGGACGCAGGGCAGGGCAGTTCTGTCCCAGGAGACACCTGGGGTGCCATCTACGCCGTGAAATGTGTTGCCGAATGCATCTGGGTGCATTCCTGAGTGGAAAGGGAGAGCAGGGGGGCGTGTGCTCCGTCAGCCTAGATGCGGCCTGGTTGACAGAAGTAAGCATGCTTTGCAACCAACAGAAATACAGTCCAAGCCAGAGCTTTGAGGACAAAAGGGACCATGGAGCTTTAGTCTTCTTTGTGTCTCTTTATGGGGAAAAGAAATCACACAGCAGCCCTGAACTCAACAGCTTCCTTTAGTCTCATCCTTTCTTCATAGCTTTCAATGGCTGTCTGTGCTTCAGTAGTCAATGAAAAGAAGTTTGCTGAGGACTGGGGAGCAGAGCAGCCAGGGTGCCAGGGAGGTGACAGAGCTCCCCAAGAAACCTCACAGGTGCCCGAGCAGTCAGTAGGCCTGGGCCACCCAGGCCAAGGGCACTAAGGGCAGATTCTGAAAAATATGTGTGGCTAAAAATATTAAAGTTGTTGTCAGGTATGATGTGATAAGAAGAAGGTAACCTTTAACCCCCTAGAAGCCACGTTCATAAACATTGGCTCCCAGCCTAGACAAGTGGGGTGATGACCCTTAATCAGGGTAACCTGCCTCCTTATCTCCCTGGGCCTGGGCAGTACTCTCCAGGGGGCTCATTTGCCAGCTCACTCTTTTTAGAAAAAAAAATCAGCACTATGTCTACAGCTGGCTACACCCCAATGTCATGATCCAGAGTTAGAATAAAGTTAAAATAAGCAATAGGAGGACTGCTTCAGCATTAACCAAGTCTAAAAACTAACATAGCAAAGGAAAAGAATAAAGAACTTGTATCACTAGCTCTGATGTGACAATTCCAGTCCCAGAGGCTGATACCTGTTGCCTTTTGGGGAGCTGGGTACATACTGAGCAGGTGTCTGCAATGTCATGGGAGTGCTTCACTCCCTCCCCCAGTGAGCCTGGCTGACCCCATGAGCATCTTCAGAAAGGCAAGAGCTAACCTCTGACCACAGTAGGGAGTTTCTCTCTATGTTGCCATGTTGGTCCTTAGACTTACTTGGGGACTTCAGATTGTTGAACTGAAAAAATTCCAGAGCATTCTTACCACCCTGACATGAATCCTAGGGACAGAAAACATGTGATTACTCACTTGGGGTGGGGGCATGAATGCCTAAGGTGGGCACCCACCTTCCCCATCAAAGAGCAGCAGGGCCCAGCAGGTGCCACCTGCAATGTGACGCTGGCTGGTAGGCCTTCTGCCTTGACATGTTCCTGGAACAGGAGATGCCAAATTTTCATGATCTGGATGCCTGTAAGTCAGAATATCTGGCTCGGGGAGGACACATGCCATGCCAAGTCCCCAGTAAAGTCAGCAGCTTCCCCAAAGAGAAAATCAACCTACAACAGCTACCAGAGCACACACGGGCACTTTTATATATGTATCTAGCCTCAATCCACCTAGAAGAAACTGAGGCTTCATGGACTGAGCTTTTTTTCATTTTCTTCCTTCCTTGTGCTGAGAATGGAACCCAGGGCCTCATACCTAAAGCTAGGCAAACATTCTACCACTGAAACTTTTCAATATTTTGCCAAAGCTTGGAAAAAGCCATTTAGAGTCATGGGCCTAGCTGGGTATAGTGGCACTTGTCTATAATCCCAGCAACTCAGGAGGCTGAGGTAGGAGGATCTCAAGTTTGAGGCCAGCCTGGGCAATTCAGCAAGAACCTGTCTCAAAATAAGAAATAAAAAGGGCTGGGGACATAGTGCAGTGGTAGAGTACCCCTGGGTTCAATTCTTAGCACTGTAAAAAAAAAAAAAAAGTCATTGGCCTAAAATATTTTTTCTTATAATTTTTGTTGTTTTTGTTGTTACTACTAGTAAAACATAGAGAGCAGGGGGTGTAGCTCAGTGGTACAACACCTGTCTCCGCACACGTGAGGCCCTGGGTTCTATTCCTAGACCAGTAAAAATAAATAAATCCATTGAGCTTTGGGTCATGTTACAATTTTCTTTGAGGATTAATTTTGAGAGCCAGTACACTCAGAAAATAAATGCTGACATCTGAGAAATTCCTCATCCCTTAAAAAAAAAATTCCTCACAAGCTGGATCATGGGGATCCTGCTGTTTCCTTTTCTAGATATGTCTGAGGGAGTCAGATGTGTGTCTATAGAATGGTGGCCTCCAGACCAAATCCTAGGAGCCTGAGCAGGAAAGTGTGGGCAGCAGGTAGGGCTGGGCTCCCAGCTGGGCTGCAGACCTTTCTGGTATCTGGTTGGGGGAGTCTCTTTGGACCTGTTTCTTCAGCCTTTTCTTTTTTTCTTTTTGTACCAGGTATGGAACCAGGGGCACTTAACCACTGAGCCACAACTCTAGCCCTTTTTAGTTTTTGAGACAGGGTCTCCCTAAGCTGCTTAGGGTCTCACTAAGTTGCTGAGGCTGGCCTTGAATTTGCGATCCTCCTACCTCAACCTATAGAGTTGCTGGGATTACATGCATGCACCACCATACCTGGCTTCTTCTGTCCTAAGAAGACTCAGAAGTTTGGGCGGGGAGGTCAAAGTTAGGGCTTGGGCAAAGCATGGCCTCAGCTGCTTCACCTGAGAAATAGGGTGACTGCCAGGTGGTACTTGGTTTTCAACACTCATGACTCGGGAACTCCTACATTCCAGATTGGCCTTTTATTTTCTAATTCAGACATCCAGGGAGGTTGGATCATCGGGAATGACTGTACAGTGAAAGGCACTGGGCCTCAGAGCATGAAGCACCGAGGGGCCAGGTGTTGTTTATCAGTGAGATTACTTAATGTAAGGCAGGGGTTGACTTTGTGTTTGGAAGCAAAACATTAGCTATCTAAACTAAGCAGCTCCAGTACTCCAACAGGGCCAAGGTCCTGTAGGTGCTATCGCCCCCAGACTAAACAGTATACTGTCAAGAAAATATGAACTCCAGAGGTTGACAGGGAGAGGAAGCTGCCGACATAAGGCTGGTGTGTGTGTGTGGCGGGGGTATGACGAGGGAAGAAGCACTGCACCAAGTCTTAGGGGATTCTGTGTCTCTGCCCTGTGGCTTCACTCATGTCACCAGGTCCCTGGGAGGCCTCACCATCCTCATCTGTCAAATGGGGGGCTGGCCCAGGAGGTCCCTAAGAAGACTGTTAGCTCTTAAAAGGCCATGGTTTTAGCATCTTCTTGGTCTGATCCAAGGGGTCTGAAGAAGAGCATGCACTAAACAAGGGAGACAGAGAGGAAGGAAAGACTACACAGAAAAGAAAAAAAAAAAAAAAAAAAAACCAAAGGAGCTACCCCAGGACATCCTCCCACAGAGACCAAGACCTTTGTTAAGCTAACCCCTGTGAGGACTGGCAGGCTGGGCTGGCAGGGCCAAGGCACTGCTTATGCCAGTCCTGCCAGTCTTCAGAGTCTGAAGAGAAAAGGCATCTGGGGTGCCAGGGCAGGAGGTTTGAATCTGAACAGTGGACGGGCTGTCCTGTGTGGGCTAACTCTCATCTGGAGCTGAAGGAAGAGGCAGCTCTTCTTTAGGAGTCAGAGAAGGAGGAGAGGTGTTCCCAACTGCTTAGCTACAGTCAGCACTCTGTAACCTCTGGTGTGCTGTATCTGGGGGTCTCCCAGGGCTACTGATCATCTGTCCTGAGTGGGAGGGGCCTTGAGGGCTCCAATCCCAAGGTAGGCTTCTGCAACAGCAGTCTCTTTTTAACTAACCTGCTTCTGGACTTGCTCTGACTTATATTTATTCACACCAGGGCATCTTCCTGGCTGCATGCTGCAAATGGGAGACATCCCTAGCTGATCACCAGCCAGGCAAAGCAGAAAGATGCAAGGACCCAGGGGCAGGGGAAAGGGGAGGGAGCCCTGGCTCATGCCAGAGCTCATTTCTTTTCAACTGGCAATGAATCTGGCATGGTTAACTAACTTTTTTGTTGGAAATCCCTACACCTGAAGTCCCAGGAGAGAGAGGCCCTGGTGAGGCTCTCCTTTGCAGCTTCTCATAGTCCCAAGACCACAAAGAGACCTACCCACCCAACTTTCAATGCAACAGGAGCAAGTCTGCAGCTCAGGTGTGCTACTTCCAGAGGAGCTGTGAGACTCTCCCCACAACACTGCAACCAAAAGGAATGGGAGGAATAGTCAGAAAAGCCTCGAGTCAAACTCAATAGTACAAAAAGTTTCCATGTAAAGAATTTGTACTTAGAAGGTTTGGAAAGACTCAGAGTTTCTACACTATGTGGAATAAGGCAAAGCAATTAATATACATTGTTTTAAAGGGAAAAAAATAACTGCAGGCAGGCAGGTAAGACACCAGGTTAGCTGTTAGTTGGGTTTGCTTCTGGGAAGTCAGAAACTGGAGCTCTATATGGGGACAGGGCAGAGGCAGGCACCACGGCCAGCTGCCAAGGACATAGTCAGGGTAGTTTGGGAGGGCAGTATCCTTTTTTGCAGGATTAGTAGGCACAAGGGCACATGAGCTCGATCTTCCCAATTTGGACAATGGAATAGATATGGTCTTCTAGGAAGCCTGGGCCCCCATGTGACCCAGAGCTCAGCCTGTCCCTAAAGAAGCAAATGAGGCCAGACCAGCCCATCTCTAGGAATGGCCTTGGAGGTTGATGCAGGAATTGCCTACTCACTCAGGGAAGGAGTGGATGGTGGCTGTGCACACATCACAGCCCAAGCTCACACCCATGGCTCTTTGTGGCCTCCTGCCTGGCCCAAGTCTATGCTCAGGCAGGTATTCCACGCTGCCTGCAATCTGGAACCTGCTGATCCTGTCTGGGCCCCTCCCCTGGTGAAAGGCTGGCCTGTTGCACAGGGTGGCCATGCACCTTCCCCAAGCCAACCAGCTTTCCTTCTCTACCTTCTCTCCTCTGGCCCCACCACATGGACCCAGCTTTAGCCACTATATTGGAAGTGAAATGGTCACACTGAGGCAAGTGGCCTGAAATGAGGTCACCCTCTCTCCATGCCCCAGAAAAGCTCTACTACATGAGAACGGTGTTTATTTATTTATTTTTTGTACTGGAGATTGAACTCAGGGGCACTCTACCCCTGAGCTTCATCCCCAGCACTTTTCATTTTTTATTTTGAGATGAGCCTCACTAAGATGCTGAGGCTGGCGTTGAACTTATTATCCTCCTGCCTCAGCCTCCTGAGTTGCTGAGATTACAGGCATGTGCCACTGTACCCAGCCTAACTGTTTTTATATTAAGCTCCCCATAACGTTATTTTCTTTTCACTCTGTTCCACTGGGTGCATTTCTGTGTGAGGTCTCAAGTTCTTTGGGGAAACTTGGAGGACGTAAATAACTATATCATACAAGTCCACCGAATCTAGGCCTGCCAGATTTCCAGGCGCTAGACTCTAGCAGGGCCTTCTCTGAAGGGCCAGATGCATCAGGTCTGCTCCTTCAGAACCAGCTCCTCCTAAGCAAAGTCCACGGTGACTTGTGCTCATCTTGGAAAAATGAATACTGCCAAGAGCTCCAGAGACAAAGGAAGGAAAAGCCCTCCCCTCACTCCTGCTACTGTCACAGACCCAGAAGGCCCAGGGACATGGGCCTCAGCAGAGAACCAGAGAAGGTACTTCTGGGACTGGAGGTCTGTGGTCTAAGGAGATTAGACAAAGACAGGAGGGGAAATTTGGCACCCCCGACTGAAGGAGCGAGCATGGCCCTGTCCTGTTGGATCACAAGGGGCCTGCAGGTGGCAAGAGGAAGGCATTGACTGTTACACAGGTAAAGGGCTGGGGTGGACAGCGGACTCGGCTCAGTTGTGGCTCCTCACCATTCCTTGGGTCATGAGCCAGCTGTCTATGGGCTCCAGGTCAGAGTCCCCACCTTTCCCTCTCTGCTGGGCCGAGGACAGAAAAGTCCCAGAAAGAAAAGTCACGGCAAGCCCCATGATAAAGAAGTCAGATAAAGAAGTCACAGTACATATTATGGAAACAGGAAAGTCACTGCTCAGATTTGATTGTCATATAAGGAAATATGACCTGATACCCCCAATCCCCATCTCTGGCATGTCCCTCTTACCTGCCTGGAAGAGAAAAGAAAAGTTTAGTAGCCATGAATCCCAACAGGATTACAAATACTCATGCCAACTACTCCTGGGCACTTGGAAAATCCCTGTGAGCCCTACTGCCTTTTTTAAATGATAAAAACATTTAAAGGGAGACACTGAATGATGAGGTCTTACTTATGGTGGCATGGCTGCACAACATTCTTCCCATCTTCATTGTGTTCTGCATTTCTCCCTTGGCCCAGTTTTTATTTCTAAGACAGCATGGCCTAGGATGGGACAAGGTAGCCTGCGGTGATGTGTGTGCACACACAGTGCCAACATGTGCCCTGCTGCCCTGTCACTGAGGCTGAGCCTTGCCCCAGTGAGCAGTAAGCATGAAAAGCAGTCTGCCTACCACCACGTGGAAAAGGCGTGAGTCATCAAGACCTTTGAAAACAGGGAGTCGGTCCAAGCCCCGCACACCCAGAGGGTGAAGGGCAAGAGGGTGGGGAGTCACCCCCATCTTCTGGACTCAGACTCAGGCCCAGGGAATTACTAAAAGCAGGGGTGTGCAGGACGCTTGCTGCCATGGACTGGGCAGGCCCTGGAACTAGAGCTGAGGAAACAGGCATGGTCAGACAGGGAGGCACCCCCCCCGCCCCCCACCCAGGAAGGATGACAAAAGGCCTCCAGCCTGGTTTTCTAGTGCCCTGCCTGGATTAGGTTAGGAGGATGTGAGGGGAACTGAGAAAGAACCACCACCACTGCATGGATTGGGGTATCTTAAGGGTTGGGTGGCTTCTGTGAGAGGGAAGGGTGTTGAGAATCTGAGGCAGCCAGCTGGCTCTTCTTCGCCCTCTTGTGGCCAGTGCAGAGGGACACATGTCTTCAGATAAAGTTGGCTGGGCCAGCTGGGAGGAATCCCTTCCCCTAAGGGACAAATATAGATGCCAGGCAGCTGCCATGCTGCCTGACTGGGCCCATTTGGACAGGGGTTGCAGGAGGCTAAGAACTGGCACTTGAGAAGCAAAGAGCCTTTTGCAAACCTTGCTGTCCAGTGGATGGGTGGGCACTGCCCCCTTTTAGCCCAGCTGGGGACCCTGACAGGAGTTCCAGCTGTTATAGGCAGATGTCCCAAGAGCCCTCCTCCTTCCTCTCCCTGTAAATGGCATGCATTCACACACATTTCTTAGCCAGGCTCAAAAGAGAAAAATCTCTGGAGAAGCATTAGACATAAATCCTTTCCCCTTCAGTAATCTGAAATCTTACAGGGCTCATGCAAATGTCATGCTGCACTTCAAAGTGCCTCCTCTGTCTCGGGCTCTGCTCCTCCCAAACCCAGAGCTTTCCCGGAAACCCTCCCAAACATTCCTGACCCTCTAGTTCTCCATTTAATTCCTGAACCTCAAATGCTAGCACTGCTTGTCCAGGGTAGCTACCAGTGGTCACCAGAGGGGTGGCCTAGATTAGTATTTACCTTCCACAAAAGGGCCGTTATTTTGGCAGCACATCTCCCACCCCAGGAACCATAACACGAAGGGAGAGGCCTGTACTCCAAGCACTTGGGTCACCTCAGTAGAAGGAACGGGCTCTGGAGTCGGACATTCCTAGGATGGGGATGGCTATGTGCAGCCCGCACTCTGGGTGTCCTTTGGCTCATCTCCCACCTCCCTGGGCCTGTTTCCTCTTCAGTATCATGAGTATAATGGGAGCGTCACTTCACAGGGCGAGGAAACACTAATGAGGCACTGCCTGGTGGCACACAGGTTCCTTGGGTCTCTCCCCCAGTGCGTCCCTGCTATTTACACAAGCCAATTTCTGCTGAATTGATCATCCAGCTTTACCAAAATGTCAACTTTCCCTCTAGAAGGCTGGACAGAAAAACAGAGTTGAAGACCTACCACTTCTGAGCTCTGTTTCCGACTGTCTAGTGCAGAAGCGAGTCCTCCGACAGCCTGGGGATCCTCATAGGTGACCCTGGGGATGAAGTAGCACAAGCACAGTGAGTTCCCCCAGGAGTCGTGGAGGCAGGGTGGTGATCTTCAATCACTTTCCATCCCACAGCACCTTCCTCAGGTGTGACCCTGGCTTTGGGCAGAGGTTGAGGGTTCATGTCCGACTCCCTGCAGCTGGAGTGAGCAAGCTTAGCTCCAGCTCATAAACTCCTCTGGGACCTGGAAGACTGTGCATTTCAACATCCTTCTCCTGAATAACACTGGGGCCTCTCTGAAGCTTAGTGGCAGGATGTCAGAGTGCTCTAAAACTCCTCAGGAGGGGCTAGGTAGAGACAAAGCAATATTAGCTCTTATTTTATAAGCAGCAGTCTGCCTTTAAGCTAAAAAGAAGGCTCAAAGCATGTTCCCTGCCTCCCTGAGATGCAGGGGGTTGTCTATTTTGGAACCAACTCCCCCAATTCCATATGGCTCATTCTTGCCAGAGCTGCTGTCGGAGAAGACTCTGCCCTGATGGCTTTTTTTAGGCAGTTAAATCTCCCTGCTAGGAACCGTTTTGGTCCCGGCCTGGCTGTCCCCTCCTGTGTCCAGGCTTCCCTTGAGACAGCTGGGGGAGATGGTGTCTGCAAGAAAGAAGAGTAGACTTCTGTGACTGACAGGAGAAATGACACTACAGTCAACCCCAAGGGCTGGAGAGAGTGGGGGGTGCTGGCATTCACCAGTATCTGCGGTGAATGCCAAGTCCCCACGGCCATATTTTAAAGTTCCTGGCAGTCTCGAATCTGGTACACAAAAGGCTTCTTTGTGTTGGCCTGTGATCAGGCCTGGGTCAGCTCCCCCTCACCCCCTGACATCTTTGGAGAGCCACTGGAAGGGGCCCCACGTACGTCTTGCGTTGCTCTGCCAAGGAGTTCCCTCTAGTCTGGGCAAACATGTCAAAGCCGTCACGAGGGTTACACTGCTGGAGTGAACTGAGGGTGCCACTGACGCTCTCTGTCCCCAAGTCTATGACAACAAAACAAACAAGAGGCAGATGAGAACAGCATGTGGACTATGGACCTGAGGGGGCCTCAAAGCCAGAGGGCCAGGAGAAGGGTTTGTGGGGGGATGGGACTGTTCTTAGCACTGCCAGTAAGTCATGTGCAGGAGGATCGAGGGCTGCACTTACACCCAGGCTGCTCAAGGAGGAAGGAGGTGTCATGAACAGCAGGGAGACTGCTGGTGGCGAGACTGAAGTGACCCAGCTAGCGCCCTTCTCAGAGTGCTCCTTATTTATTCAGTAGGGATCTGGACTAGTTACTCATTTGGCAGGTATTTCTTAGGTCCCCACAGGTCGAGAGCCAGATCTCAAGGGGACCTAATAGGACCTGACTTGGTCCTGGCCTCAAGAAGCTCAACCAGTAGATGGGAAAGGGACAGAAAGCCCAAGTGCTTGGTTTGAGATAGTGAGAGGCACTCAAAACCAACGTAAGGGTGGGTCTTAGAGGATGAGCAGGGCTGCAGTAGGGGCAGAAGGAGAAGGTGAGACTTTGTGAAGTGTCTGCACTTGTGGGAAAGAGGGGTAGAGGAGGAGGCTGGGGGACAGGTGAGAGACGGACAGAACAAGCCTCAAATGCCCAGTAAAGGGTGATTGGGGAAATGATGGACACTTTTTAAGAAGGGAGGCAGCAGAATCCATTTTGAATGTTAGGTATTAAATCTGGTGACTATAGTTGGACAGACTGAAGGCAGAGATACCTGTTACAATAGAGACAGATACAGAAAATATTGGAATGGCTACAGATACAGAAATATCGAGACGCTAGACCTGCTGCAAGTGATAGGCCATTAAATAAGTTTAATTCAATTGAAAAGAATTGAAGGTAGAGAAATATTCCCCATAAAAGAAAACAGAAAAGCAAGGTAGAAGAATTTTGAGTGTTATGCTTATTAATTATGTCAATATTATAACTTTGTTATAAATTGGTATCATCTAGTATAAACAAAGCATCTAGAGTTATATACACACATTTACTATGGAAAAGAGGGGAGTTTCTAGCAAGTTTTAGAAAACAGAACACTTTCATCTAATGTATAGCTCAAGGAGAGCAAATGTGTCAGTGCCACCACCACCTCCTACTTCTCAGCCCATTGCAGACATCTTCAGTCAGTCAGTCATCTCTTAGGCCCTGAAGTGGCTCTAGTATTAAACCTGTGTTCCAAGCAGTCAATGAACTGAAACCAATTTGCCAGCCTTGGCCTAGTTATGCTGAAGCGTAGACGTTCCTCAACTTTGCTTTCCAACACAGGTTTAAACTTCAAATTTAGGAAAAAAAGTTATAAATTGAAAGGGGTACACTTTGGCTAGGACTCAGAAATACATCTTTCTGGATTCTTCAAAAGGTTCTCTTCTGGCCTTCCAACACAGAGAAAGACATAGCTTGTAAAGGAGGCCAAATGGCTGTAGGCAGCCTCTTTACACGGCTGTGCAACACTCACCCAAGCCTGCGAGCTGGGAGGAGAGGGAAGATGGGGGTGCCGTGCTCCCCACCACTGGGCTCACCACAGCAGGAGAGCCAGGGCCCAGGTCTATCAAGTTATCTTCAGTCACTTCATTCAGCACCTGTTGGGACATTGAGGTTGGCGGTGAGGCCTCCATTCCCTGGGCTGAGAGCCAAGGTAAAAGCCAGGACCTAGCTGGATGCAGTGGTACAGGCCTGTAAACCCAGTGGCACAGGAAGCTGAGGCAGGAGGATCACAAGTTCAAGGCCAGCCTCAGCAACGTAGCAAGGCCCTAAGCAACTTGGTGAGACCCTGTCTCAAAGTAAAAATTAAAAAAAAAAAAAAATTAAAACAAAACAAAACACTGGGGATGGAGCTTAGCGGTAAACTGCCCCTGGGCTCAATCCCCAGTACCGGGGGAAGAAAAAAAAAAACAAAACCCAGGACCCGTGTTTTTACCACAGGAGCAAGGGGGCTCCCCTCACCCACCTTCAGAATCACAGTGGGCCCAGGCTGTCAGTGAGCCCCACACTGGCCTCCCCTGCTCCCCAGCTAGAAGGAGGCAGTACTGAGTCACAGGATGGTGACTGTCCTGGGAGCTCTGGACGTGGGCTTTCTTGCCACCCTCTCCTCAAGGGTGCCTTCCAGCCCTGCTCCATCTGCCATCAAGCAGACATTTTATTCCCAGTTAGAAAACCTAGAAGCCAGGCCCAACTGGGACAGGTCTGTGTGAGGGGGACAGCCTCACAAGTACAGGGACGTCTAAAGGCACACTTACTCCATTGCTGGCATTCTGAACTGATCGGCCCGACCTGTATCGCTGGAACCTAACAAGGAAGGGAAAGGAGAAGTAAGGAAGGAGGAGCCATGTGTGGCCTGCCATGCTCATGGTCCTGTGAAGAGTGCTGGGTACTCAGCAGAGGATGAGGCTCCAGGGAGGGGACCAGGCAGTCCCATTTGGGGACAGCAGAGTAGACTCCACATATACACCTTCCTCTGTGTGGAGCTCCTACCTCCCAGGAGGATGAACTTCTCTGCCTCTCCCACAGGTTCCCTGATTCTGGCCCCTGGGGTCAACCACTTTCCCTAGAGGCATCATGCCGCATGCCCATCTACAGAGCCAGGCCCTAACTGCAGACCCCTCTCTACTCCTGCTCCTGAGGCTCAGTTACCCCCACCTTCATCTCTGGAGAAAGGAGGTAGTGAGGCATGGGCACAGGGCCATAGCCAAGGCCTGGTGAAAGGGCTTGCAAGAAGCTGTAGGGAGGTTTAGGCCAACCACCCAGAGTGCCAGGAGGGCAGGGTGGGCTGGCCCTTCCAGGGCCAGTCTCTTCTGCACCATCAGCAGATGGCCACAGATGGGGCTTGCCTGTGGACAACTGCAGAACATTTCCCTTCTGCCACACCCAAGTCATCTTCGTACCAGGTGGGACTGCAAGAGCAGCTGGGATGTGTGTATGTGTGTGGGGGGAACAATAGGTCCTGTCCAACACCATATTTAAAAGCTCCTAACACCATAGGCCAAGAGGTAGCCCAGAGACTTTCTACAGATGGGACTTGAGAAACTGGGATTTAGGGAGCTGCACTGCTTCATGTTTGCTGCCAACTTGGTAGGTCAGTACTTGGTGACAAGGAATTCCCAGGAGGAATGATCTGGCTGGGCCATGTGTATCGACTGCAGATTAAAAAATTTTTTTTTTCCAGTAGAGTTCTAAAAGGAGAACAGAGATATTAATATATCTGAAACACTCTTAATCATGGGGTATTATCTTTCCCACACTCTCTTCAAGGGACCTACAGTCTAACCATGATGGCATCTCAGGGCCAGTGGCCTGAGGTAGCACCTCCGAGTCCTCTGCAACACTGGGACTGGTGTAGATGACAAGGCCCACACCAGTTCCGGTTATTCTATTCTAGCTAGAGTTTAAATGACTCAAACAGGTCAAAACCCAAGCTCGGGGCTGGGGTTGTGGCCAGTAGTAGAGCGCTTGCCTAGCATGTGTGAGGCACTGGGTGCGATCCCTGGCACCACATAAAAATAAACAAATAAAATAAAAGGTATTATGTTCATCTACAACTAAATAAAATAAAATAAAATAAAAACCAAAAAAAAGAACAAATTTCTTAAAAAAAAAGAATCAAGCTCATTTAGCATAGGGAAACTGAGACCGTATGGCAAGACAAGGGGGGTTCAGGGTAAAAGTGAGGGTGCCTTGGATCTGCTCCTATTCTTTGATTGGTAGACAAGGGGTCTGTTGGGTGGCCACACAATCCTACTGCAGAGGAGTCTTCACCTTTTAGATGGGCACAGGAACATCTATCCTTACTGCCACCATCAGAAGTTGAAGAAACCCAAGAAAGTGACAACCACCACATCAATCTCTGAGCCCCTAGAGGTAATGCAAATGCAATATTTGTTCCCCTGACCCTAATGGGTACCAGATCCATTTGTCCTCCTGACCAGTCCACATAGTAAGCCATGATCAGCTGACAGAAGGGCCAGAACAAGTCTCCAGGGAACTCATGCTACTGTCCTGCTTCTTTTATTTATTTATTTTTTATTTTTAAAATATTTTTTTAGTTTTAGATGGACATAACTTTAATAATTTATTTATTTTTATGTGGTGCTGGGGATCGAACCCAGTGCCTCACACATGCTAGGCAGGCGCTCTACCACTAAGCCACAACCCCAGCCCTGCTCTGCCTTCTTGAGCCTGATCTTTAATGGGAGAAGGCTGGCCTGACAGAGGTCATTTCTGGTCCTCCACTGGCTCATTCAGGAGAGCCCACGGTGCATCCATCATGATGTAGAGATGAGAACTGCACCTCCTACTTGAAACCAGTCCAAATATGTTTTGGACGTTGTCCTGAGGAAGTCTTTGGAAAAGGAAAGGAATTTTCAAGTTTGTTACTTGAAGCCTAAAAGTGATTTGGCTGCAGAAAGAACTGAAAAGAATGCGTGTGTTTCCTTAAGCAGCAGCAGCAGCAGCAATCTGGCACTTACACCCTGCCTGCTTCTCCGGAACACTCTAGACACGCTGACATTTACAAAAAGAAAGCTCTTTTTCTTTTTATAAGATGGGAAAGAGGAAATCCTTTTTCTTAGCAGAGGTTTTTTTCCCCTTTAATCCTTTTCAAACTCAAAGGATCATCAAAGGAGCAGGTGCAGAAACTCCAGGCCCAGACCCCCCAGTCCTGGTCCTCCCTGAGACAGGTCATGCGGGGAGGCAGAGCAGCCTGAGGCTTATAAAGGGCAAAGTGAATTCTGCACGTCAACTTCCTGCTGCTTGTTCCCAGGAGAACAAGAAGCATTTTCTCTGTCATCCAGGGGAACAAATTAGCATCTCTGATGAGTATTTTCCAACTCTAATCTCTCTGTCTGTGTATGTCTCTCTCCCCTTTGTTTATCAAAGATATCCCTCTGTTATGGCAACAATCTTTTCAAGAGAAAAAAAGAAACAAAAAGGACTCTGGCTCCCACCTCTCATAGCGGAGGAAGACATTGTTGAGGTCATCATTGACATGCAGCAATTCCTCGGTGACTTCCTCGTTGGACACGCGGGAGATGAGCTCCACGATGCGGTGCTGCATGGCCCGGCAGGTCCTGTTCAGCTCCTAGGGAACACAGGCACCTCTGCAGAGCCTGCTGGGAACGCTTTTTGTCACGTTCTATTGCCTTTGAAAAGATTTGTACTGATTCTTAAAAGTCACAGAAGGAGTACATGCTTGTTCATAAAACCAGACGTGTGCAGAATGCAAAGGAAAAAGCTCCCTCCTCACCGTCTGCCCCTCCCACCCCAGGAAACGGGTGCTTTTCCAGTGCATGAACAAGTGTCCACATGTACAGACAGTTGTTGTGTGAATATGAGTACATCATTTTTAAAATATAAAAATGCAATTCTTAGGGGCTGAGGTTGTAGCTCAGTGGTATAGTGCTTGCCTAACATGAACAAGGCCCTGGGTTCTATCCCCAGCAATGAAGGAAAACACACACACACACACACACACACACACAATCATATGTGCTTGCAAAAATGTGATTCTTTGTGGCTTGCTTTTTCCCTTCAACAAAATATTTCAGACCCATTTCCCTCATCATTGGGTACAGAATGACTCAATCCTTTGTGTGTGCACTGTAATGTAGCTTATCATTCTGCCATGTTGGGCATGTGACTTGTGTGTGTTCTCTCTTTGTTTGGCTAACCCAAATAATGTAGCAGTGAATACTTGCACACATACATGTTCACACACTTACTGCACTTCCACAGGCAGAGTTCCTCAGGAGGGGAAGTTTTGAATTAAGTAGTACGTATGGTCTTTTAGAATACTGACTGGTAATAGTCAGAGGCTCTCCAAAAAGGATGACATCAGTTTATTCATACTACCAGCAATGGCATAAGTATATTTTATGACCATATAGGTGCTGTGCGGTGGCACAACTGTCACTGTGTAGAGGTCTTGGAAGCTCCACCAACTCCCATAGGCCAAAGATGATAATCACACACCACCAGTCACCACAGGAGCCTCTCAACCTTTGGAAGCAATGTCCCCTGAGGACAGAGCCTTGTACTTTATGGCCTGGCTTCTGTGAGCCTTCCCTGCCCCAGAACAGCCACCTCACTAACACTCTCACTTAAACTTGTTTGGGGAGCCCCCTCAAATACCTTCCAGGCCCCTGCCCTCTTGTATGCCAGACTGAGGACGCTACAGATGAGATCAGTGCCAGGCCTGTCAGGCTGGCTCCTTAACTTCCTTGACTACATGAGCGGCCTGCGGACAAAGCTCCAAATCCCAACAGGGTGAAGGGAGGGCCAGGATGCCGACCTTACCTACCTGGACGCTGGAGGCAGCTGATGAGTCAGTGAGTTAAGGAATGAAGTTTCCCTTCCTGCAGCTCAGTCTCAGAATTACCTCAGTTTGAAAATGTGTCTGGCAGAAGTAACTGATCCATTTGCAGCAGGCAAAAGCAATCTCTGCTTAGCTCCTGCTTTCGTCACACCATCTGGCTGCCTGGGCCAGGGCTCCTTCCTACCAGATCATGACCTTCTTGAGTGGAACGCTGTCATATATTCACCCGTGGATGTCCTTAAGCTGAGCACTGAGTCGTGCACAGTGAAGACGTCCAAGGGGCATCTGCTGAATTGGGTCACTGAGGTGGTCAAATGAGCAAAGTAGGGAATCCCAGGCAGTCCTTCTGCAGGCTCCCCAGGACCTGGCAACACAGCGCCTGCCTCAGGGTTGCCACTGCTGGGTTCTCGTCAGCCTCCCACTCTAGACCAAGGCTCCATGTCATTCTTCCTAGCTCCCAGGAAGGCAGGCAGGCAGGCAGGCCACATCCCCTCAGCCCACACGCAGTCCACATGCAGTCCATGGCATCAGACAACATTTCTTTCTTTTTTCTTTTTTTTTTTTTGTTTGTGGTGCTGGGGATCGAACCCAGGGCCTTGTGCATGTGAAGCAAGCACTCTGCCAACTGAGCTATACCCCAGCCCTCAGACAGTATTTCTGACTTCACTGCTACAAGGCCTACGCTGGGCCTACCCTTCAGGTAGGAACAGGGGGGACCTTAATGGGTTGCTTTGTCTTTCTCTCCTCCTGGTGCTCAGTCCCAGGGCTCCTTTCCTAAGAATGGGGACAGCTGGGGAAGAAGACCTGACCACGTGGATGGACCCAGAATCACCTGAGTACAGTCATATTTTTCAAGGCAGAAAGAACCTGGATATGTGCAGCTGGGTGCTCATGAGTTTGGTTTCACATTGATAACAAGCTTCCTTGGAGATTCCTCAACCCTGGATCTGGTCATCTTGCTGAGCCCTGACTCTCTGACCATGGCAATGTTGCCGTTTGTCTTGGTTCTACCCTCAGCCAGAATGGTGCTGTCAGACTCTCTTGGTCACTGGGGAAAGAAAGCCAGTATCTGAATCTTTTCAGATTTTTCTCTAAATAGACTCCCAGTGTTGGCTTTCCCAAGACTCCTGCCTTAGGCAATCATTCCTAAGAGTCTTCCAGTGAAGACAGATCCTACCACATAAGCTCAGGGCAGGCAAACATGGCCCTTGTCTGGTGCTTGGGTAAAGCAACAAGCCCTGGCTACACTTGGTTGGGGCAGGGGACGGAAGAAAGCCCATCACTTGTCACTATAAGGCATAATACCTACAAGTCAGAGAAGTGTTGGGAGGAACATTATGGGAAATAGTTTTAAGGTTCTCCAGAAGCTTGGGGTATCAGAAACCAACCCCAACATACCTCTAACCCCTTAGACTTTCCAAGACAGCAGGTGGCCTCAGGCACTCACCATGCAGCTCAGGGGCTGCTGAGAAGTCAGCCTGCTGCTTGTAATATCTCTTACTTTCTTTTCCATCACTTCCACTCATCCTTCAAGACCTTAGGGTGTTTCCCCACCCCAGTATCTCATCATGCAAAACTTCAAACATACAGCAAAGTAAACATACTACCACTTGTAGTCTACCCTCAATTCCGGGACCCCCAGCCACTGATTCTCATCATTTTCTCACAGCATTATAAACACACCTTAACTGCAGCTGCCAAGCCAGACGACATCAGAGCTCTTCTGGGAGAGCCTCCAGCCTCCAAGTGATAACCAGCCCTACCACTACCCTGAACTGTGGGAGTCTCAGGACAAGAGCAGGCCTGAGGTGTTCCCCTGGATTCAGAGAGATGCCAAACCAGACTCTTCAGCAAGCTTCAGGGAATGTCTCTAAAATGTGACTACAAACCCTCAAGCACCAAGAGAGCTGAATGAGAGAAGACAAGGGCTCATCTCTCTCTCTCCCACAGCGTTCCAGCTGGGTACTGAGACCAAGCAGCAGGCAGCAAGTGGCCATGAGCGGATAAGCAATCCACGGCCCTGATGCTCTCCCTGCATAAAATAAGGGGGCTGCATACATGTGTAACAAGGGGGAAGTGCCACAGAATGTCACTGCATTGCCCTAGGGCAGCCAGGGCAACTCTGCTTTTATGTATTTTAAACATTGTCATTCTCTGTAGAATTTTATTTGTGGAGGAAAGGGTTCCATTACTTTCAAATACTGTTTGGAAAGTGCTAGAGGATTACTGAGGCACTAACATTATGACCTCAGCTTGGAGGAAGAATGAGACCCAAAGGTATAGACTGTAGAGATTTCATGGATGCTAAGTGCCAGAAACATCCACTATAGCCTCACTTTTGCTGCCTCGTCCCCACTACTTCCTGCGGGGTGGCAGCAGAGATGGTCCTCACCCCTCTGGCAGAGCCTCACAGGCTTCCGTCCTAGAGGGGCATCCCAACAGCTTTTCCCAGCCTTTCACCCAGAGATAGGTCCACAGGGACTCTAGGGGTCTCGGTACAGAGAAAATTACCATTCTTGGCTTTAAAGCATTTTAAGTTACTGTTTCAGAAAGGAAGAAAAGCTGGGCACCGTGGTGCACAACTCTAATATCAGCTACTAGGGGAAGATGAGGCAGGAGGATGCAAATTCAAGGTCAACCTCGGCAATTTAGCAAGACCCTAATGAAAATAGAAAACAGAAAAAGGTCAGGGGTGTGGGGGTGTAGCTCAGTGGTATAGTGCCCCTGAGTTCATGCCCAGTACTTAAAAAAAAAAAAAAGATTTTCTGTCACCACCACACCAGATGGCCACCCACATGGCCTCCCCAGTGTCATCCAAGCCAGCCCTATGGCAGGCTCAGTTTCAGACTTCCCCGTCTCCCTCCACCTCTAAAGCACCAGACAGAGTGACTTCTTCTTGGTCTAAGGTACTCAAGAGCTCATAGCATGCCCAGGACACCCTTTCAACTACACAGGAGCTGGAAAGCTGGACAGGAATCCCCCCAGTGTCACAGATTACAGCTTCAGCTTCCTATTTCTGGTTCTCAACAGAGAGGGAGGACAGCTGGTCACTTAGGCAAAAGTATTCCATCTATCAGAAGACCTTATTAAATATCCTCTCTTTTCTGTTGAATTAATTAATTTCAGGTCTTTTTCTTTTCTTCAAGGGACAGTCCCAGCCCCACCTCACAAAAGTCTTTTAATCATCCTTGTTGTTTCCTCTGGACCCTCTCTCAGTTCCCAGAAGCATGGAAGAAGATCCTAAAAGCCTGTTCTGTTGCCGCAAGGGCACTGGGAGGGAGAAAAAAGTCTGTTAACAAGAAAGGGGAAATAATGAAGCGCAACATGCAGAATAAACCAGATTTCTCTAGAGAAAATGGTTTTGGCCATTCTTTGTTGAAATCAGATGCAAGAAGCAAGGAGAGATATACCATCTGCTACTTAAAGGAACAAATTTGGAGTCAGCTTCTTTTGTTGTCTGATGAATGGCCATTGAAGAACGTCCATTTTTTACACCATTGGATGAATTAAAAGTTATTATTAATTGAAGGCAAAGCTCAAAAGCCTAAATTAAGAGGGAGACGGCACCAGATGATGGAATCGGATCTTTCGAGATCCTAGGAAGTGGCACTCAGCTCCAGATAAAGGCATGTGCTTTAGCAGGGACAGATGCTGTTTCACATTTTGGGCCTACACTCAAGGGTCCATGCACAGGATTAGGAGGATGTGGCTCAACAGCCCCACACGGAGATTGGGAAGGGTTTTATATGATGGAAGCTCTCCTTTTGACAATTTCTGACTTGTGACATTGATGAGTTGCCTGCTCATCTATAAGGTGAGCTATCAAGAGCCACACCTGTTCCATGAAGAGACTGGGCAGTGGGCAGGGCCCATGGCAATCTTGTAATACTCAAGGACCCACCATGTAGAAAGGAATTCATTTTGTTCTCTTGTCTAGGACAGACCAGGGTCGAAGCCTCAGAAAAACAGATTTGAGCTCGAGAAAGCAGAAGAGCTTTCTAACAGTGGTCATAGAAGTGACAACCTGTGGAGGACTTGCCTGAGCCCAGCCCAGTGCCACACACCTGCATGGTAAGTAAATGCAATCACTTCAGGCCACCAAGGGAGAAGCAGATGGAGAGAGGGCTGGAGACTTGCCTGGTATCACTTGGCTCATCAGTGGGAAGATGAGGATATGCACCCAGTGATCTGTAAACCATGTTCTCTCCACCTTGTGCTATTTCCAAAGTCTAACCAAGACCTCTATCTAAAAATAAAGTGCTTTCAGGGTCTGTGGGAACAGCCTGTAATTAGGGATGTGTGTGTGGGGGGGGACCCCAAACAGCAGGCACTAGGACAAATGCTGGAGAGGAAGCCTGAGCACAAGTGTGGAGTTGGACTAACAGCCCAGAAGGTCTCTCTCAGCTCAAGGAGTGGAGGGGTCAACAACCGGCCTGAGAGGCGTTGCTGTGTTCCCACTCCAGGCATCCTGCTTCCCTTTTTCTCGGGTTCATGCTAACCTGACCAAACAGGGGTCCAGAGTGGACTCAGCCTTTCTTTAGATACCAGCCACCTGCCCACGAGTCCTCAGGCAAATTGCTCACCAGCTTCCCTGCTGTTCTTGCTGGGCTGTAGGAGGGTACGCCAGAGAACTGTGCCAGGCACAGGAAAAATCAGGATATAACCTGCCCACAATTATGATTGGCCACACCAGAGCACCCCAGGGCTGACCCTCCGGATGACCTCTCTTCCCACTCCCTCTACTTTCTAGACATCAATTTACACTTGAATCAGGAGCAGCTTCTGTTGGTGGGGAGATCAGGGCTGGTGACAAATGTGTTTATTTCCACGGCCCTGGCCAGCACTCTGAGCTCTGGCTGCGGCTGCTCTGAGCACTTTGGATGTCCTCCAGCTTGACTGAGGGGTCTGGGACAGATTCTGATCCCAGGGCTTTCTGAGCAGTCTGTGGCATTTTCCCATGTGGAAGGCTCACTGTTCCGTGCTGCACCGACCCTTGGGAGCTCCTGCCTGCTGGCTTCTGACAGCCAGGGAAGAAGAGGGAGGATGTCAGGCACGTGGCCACCAGCCAGGAGCACTGAATATGTTCACACGATCCTGCCCACTCTCACATCTCCCATGCCGAAAGGACAGCCTCCCACAGGCCCCCAGAATTGGCCTTTTTCTGTTTGATTTATACGACAGCAGTGAGGGCTGGGAGGCTCAGAGTTGGAACAAAACAGAGGGAAAGAAAACGTCATGGGAAGCAACCTATTTTTGAAAACTGTGAGCTGATGCCAGGAGATTAGGTTCTGTTTGTCTTGGCTGAAGGGCTTGTTTAAAAAACAACAACAACAACAAAAACCACACAGACACACACACACAGACACACGCACACACACATACAAGCATGCATGCATGTGCACATGAGTGCACGCACACACACACACAGAGTATTCCTGCTGTCTGGGTCTGCTCTGGCTGTCTGGAAGCATCTTGGCTTTGTTCAACACACCGCCTGCTGCCAGGAGCTCAGTTCTGTCCAGAGCAAACCCCCCTGTCAGCAGGAATTCCGACGCTGACACAGCACAAAGCTGCCTCAAGAGGCCCTCTTGGTTTCTGAACGGCCCTCAGATTCCTGTGCATCTGGGTAATGCCTGGCAGCTGCCTTCCTGTAGGCTGGGGATGGAGGCCAATGACAATGCATTAAAGGGAGGCAAGTCCCATGGAGTGTGACACATGGATAGTTGATCCCGCTGAGCCGAACAGTCAGGTGTCAGGAATAGGTCTGGAAACTAGGGGCTGCTTGAGCTCCTCACTAGGGCTAGGTCAAGGGTACGCTTCTTAGCTTCAAGAGCAGCTTGGTGTCCAGGTTACATGGAGAAAAGCTGTCCTTCTATTGTGAAGTCTTCCAGAGCAGGGACTATAGCTCCTGCCTGTTTGTGGCCCTGGGGCTGTGCTCTGAGCTGGTCCTAGTGCAGGGCTCCACCCACCCTCACCCTCATAGGAGCTGATGGTCTGGAATGGGGACTGGGCACTCCAAGAAGTAGCCTGGGACAAGGTTAAGCCACCAGGCATGTGCTGTCCCAAAGGGTAAGGCCACGAGAGTCAAGCTGCCCAGGGAGTCAGTGTGTGCCAATAGCAGGGTGGGAGGTGTGGCACTCAGGAGCCAAGACTGATGACTGAGTACCAACCAGAAACAGAAGCAGCAGGTGCAGTGAGAGCCACTCACACCAGGTTGCCCAGTCAGGCTGGCTCCTGACCTGTCTACTTCCATGTCTTGCATCCTGCTATAAAGACCTGGCATTTGTAGTTCACAGTATCCTTTCTCCACCTCTCTAGAAGGTCATTGCTCCTGAGGGCAGTGTTGCTGCCATTTTCTACAAATGTCAGAGTCATCTGAGGCTAGTATGGTCACTGGCTTTGGGCCTGGTTGGCCTGGGAAATAGATCCAAAAGGGGCTCCTGCTTCTAGTCCAAGGATGGGACGGCAGGCGAGCTTGCTCAAGGGCCCTTTCCTGCCATGTCTGAGGTTTGTAGTGTAGGCTCGGGGTTTGGCTCAGTGGCACAGCACTTTCTTGGCATGCATGAGGCTCTGCATTTGATCCCCACTATTGGAAAAAATTTTTTTGAAGGGTGATCAGAGTTGGGAGGCCAGGTACAGCAGCTCCTTGGAAACCATGATGTGAGCCTGGGCCTCAGCATTTGGGAAGAGAACAGGAGCTTCAAGTTCACTCCAGTCTCAGGAATTCCTGACTCAGGGTGGGGGTGGGGGAAGGGCCCTACGTGCTGTCATGGCTACACAATGGGCCCCGCTACACAATGTCCGTGATCTGACAACAGGCAGCAAAGGCACACACAGACTGGGACATATAGCATCATCTCAACTAGATTTAAAATAAACACAGCAAACACCCTGAAAGGAAATACAACAAAAAGTCAACAGTGGTTATTGTGGATGTGTGGGTTAAAGAAAATTATTTTGTTCTTGACTTTCTTTTTCGTTTGATGGGCATGTACTCTACAATTGGCACTTTCTAATCAGGACAACATATAATTAAGGAAAATAAAAAATAAGGTGGTACTGGTCGCTATCTGTCCCTAGGAGAGCATGAGGCTATGAGCCCCCAAGGACTTAATCCTTCCTGACAACAATGCTACCAAACTGTCCAAACTCACGGTTGTGACGTCCCCAAGAGGAGTCCCGCCACAGTGTGCAGCAGTGGTGCTGCCCCCACAGGCTGTGACCCTGTGCTGAGCCCTGCAACTCCACAGAACGGGGTTCTCCTCACCTGCAGCAGCTCCAGGTCTGATGAATCTTCCTGTCCAGGGACCATCTCTGTTAACATCTCTGACATGACTTTTGTGTTTCCCCGGACAACGTCCAGCTCACTCCGCAGCCTGGCAATCTGTAGTGTGGCAGGGAGGAAGGAGCCAAGGGGAGGTCAGTGATCTGCGCTTGGAAGATCCGAACCAGCCAGCCCCACAGGATGGGGATGGTCCCATCCACCATGACACCCACGTCATTCTGAGTGTATGCTCAAGGATCTGCCTTCTCTTTTCCCTCTGGCTGCCTGGGAGGGGACGGCAGCTTGGCAGCTCAGAAGAACTGAATGCGGGAGCAAGGCTGTCCCAGAGGCCCTGGTCACCAACAGTCAGTCACAGGTGCCTCTCTGCCCGTGACGCTAACTGAAGAGCAGTGTGCAGTGACGGGCACTGGGGCAGAAAGAACTGAAGAACCAAGCTTGTGGTCTCAGCACTCTCCCCACAGGACCTCACGGTTATAGGCTCTGCCCCTTGAGTGTCATCATCTAAAAGCTACGATTCTCTGGGAGGCCTTCCAGTGCTAAGAACACTTTTCTGGTGTGGCAATGATAAGAGGAGGAGCAAGAGAAAAATCACAGGGGGCATTCCCCCACACCCAGCTCCCTACCTGGTAACCTGACCTTGAAAAATCTCCCACCCATTAGCACCCCTAGGCAGAGGCCCCGCACACTCTCCAGCAGAGACACAGTAGACCACATAAACCGCCTCTTCTGGGTCTCCAGCCCTGAGTTTCTCTAAACCCCTTCGAGGCATCTGTGGAAGCCACAAGGACCTTCCTTGTCCACAGTGAGATATCCTGGAAAAATTTCCATAGACCTGTCTATTGCTGATGGAAGACCAACACACACTAGACAGAGAACTGTCGGGACAGTAGAAGGAGCTCCGAAAGATTCAGCAAGCTTAGGGCTCTACCACCCAGAGATGGACCCGACTCTCTGGGTCTAGGGAAAGGCCTAACCCCAGACCCCATGGGTCGCTGCGCTGCCCATCCAGCAAATGGGCACACACGTACTCTCTCTGCCCCACATGTGGGCTCCACTCCTGTGCTCATCTGCACTGGGACTCTGATCAAGCGACACCTCCTCTCCTCAGTCAGCCCTTTTCTGCTCTCTCTTGCCTGCCCTGAGGTGGAAACGGCCACTCCCAGCCTCCTTCAGCCTCTCCTGGGCAAGTGGGCTCTCTCAGCAGACCCTTAACTTCTCAGGGCTGTGTGGTGGTTGAGTTCTGTACCCTTAGCACAGGGACAAGGACGGGAGACCTCAATCCGTCAGAGAGAGATGGTCCAAGTCCTGAGAGGCTCTTGTTGCCTGGCTCGCCTGATGGATGGCTTCAATGCCTTGGCCATGAAGAGGTTTCTGGGCAGGGAGGCCCAGGCATGCTACCTGGTGACCACACTGAAGCCTTGGGGTCTCTAGGTCGGGCTGGGCACCAGCCTTCTGTCTCGCTTCCATGCCCCCTGGCGGCAACTGGTGCCATGCACCCGGGCCCTCTCTCTCTCTCCAGACCGTCCTCTTGGCTGTTCTGGCACTGGAAAGCCCGACCCAGCACCTGCTGCACTGAAGGTCAGTGAGCCAAGGGACTCAGAGACTGTCCAACTTCAAACACGTTCTGCCTTCCCTCAAAGCACACAGTGACAGTTCTGCCCATGGAGGCAGCGCCTAGAGCCAAAGCCTTCTGCCCCAGGGCTTCCATTTTAGGGAAGACCTCATGTGTGTAAAGAGGAGGAGTGGCACTCAGTGACCCAGGCCCACAAGCAGTAAAGCCCCACTGATGTCAACACTGGTGTCACCTACACACAATCCCCTGACTCCTCTATTTCAGTGAGGTTTCATAATAACTACGTGTCACAATGAGGAAATAAGGATTCTGAAGTACAAACATTTGAGATCATTTTTTCAAAGCTTAAGAATTCTTAAATTTTAACTCTTAATTCTTAAATTTTAATGGAAATTCTATAGATTCATCTGAAGACCAGTCTTAACAATGCATCTAAAAATAGTGGTTTGGGGTAAAACTGCATCAGCTTATCAGAACGCAATCCAGGGAATGGGGCAGTGTTTGGGATAAAGCAAACAGAGTGCTTCTGGAGGCCTCCCTGACTTTGGACTCTGCCCCCACCGGCACCTTCTTCTCTGATGGCTGACACTTCCTATGGGACTGACGTAAACCTCTTTGTGTGACAGACAAGTTCATTCACAACTCAACTGCATTCCTCTGCTTTTGGCCTCACTTTATGCAACGATTTCTTCCTCTACCTGGGTCCAACACCCACATCAGCCATTTCCCAATGATTCCCAATCCTTTGTGTTTTGCATGCACTGATGCTACCGCCTGAGCAGGGCCTCACCTGACAAAGCCCCATGCCTGTTCCAGGGTCCTCACTGCCTCAGCTCCTGGGCTCTCTTCCAGGGACTGCTCAACCCTGGTACACCAGAGCACTGGGCTCTGCTCCTCACCATGGTGTGACCACACTCTATCATGATCGTCTTGCAGTCATCTCCCCCAGGTCTTGGGTCCTTCCATCTTTGTGCCCCACACCCAGGGCACTCCCTGGCCTGGGTAGGCTTCTATATGCTGGGAAGGTGAAGGAGGGTCATCAGCTGGCTTGTTTATGGCCCAGAAGCACACAAGTACCTGTTCTGAATTGGCCGTGATGGGACCAGTCACACTGAGAGCCGGGGCCTGGGGAGCGGAGTAGGAAGCAGGAGGAGGCGAGGAATAGGAGCTGGCATTGGTCCTCTGCTGCGACTGGGACCTGGGCATGGTCGAGGCTGGATCTACTTCTGGGACACTCTGGCATGGCAACAAAAAAGTCCTCCGTTTTGTTGGGCTGCCTGTGTGGCCAGACCCGGCACCTCCCCCAGCCTGGGCTGTGCTTTCTATCAGAGTTCACAGAGCCCACCCGATTTTACCATCTGGGCAGTGAAGCCACCAGTGGTGGCTCCTCCCTCCACACTCCTCACAAGGTCTTCTGTCCTTGTCCCTAGCAGACAACCAGTGTAACTCCAAGAGGCTGTGGAGAATGCTCCATGAGCATTCTGGTCATAGTTCCATTGTTAAGACCACCTTGGGATCCAAGTGGAAGGAGGGCTGTTATTAAGTTTTGCTAATCATGAATCTATATTTGGAACCATAAGATTACGTTCTGGCCTTTACAAGTAGATTAATATAAATAGCAATTATGCAATTTACTGAATGTTCTTTGTAATTATAGGAACAACACTGTTCTGTGTCATTATTAGAAGAATAAAGCAGGTTATGTTTATTCCACTAAGCATAGTAAGTGGTTTGGAGGGATCATAATGAGAATAATGCCTTGTGCCTTCCTTCAAAGCATGTGGGGATGGACTGTTCTGTCCATAGAGGTAGGGCCTGGGCATCTCAAATAACCTTGTGAACATTAGTGCATATGTTCACAAGAGACACACACATAGCACACTGTCCTCCTTGAAGACATGAGCAGATGAGGGCCAGCAAGGCCAAATGTGCTATGACTGGTGCTTCTCCAGACCTGGAGCTTTTCAGGCTCTCTCCTTGAGCTAGGAGCTGGTTCCCAGTCAATAACAGGACCAGATTCCCTGTGAAACCATGACTGGCATCATGTGCGTGACTTCTTTCCATGTTTTTTGGGGGCATTACAGTTGTACATCTGCATGCTCTTAATTCTGAAGTGCAGAGCTGCCCCGTCCACTGCTGGCATCTGAGAGTGTCGGTGGGATGCTCAGACACAGACCATTCCTGGGCTCTGCATCCCACAGCTGCTGGAATTCAAAGATTTCTAGACTGATGCTGAAGGCTCATAGTTCAAAATACATTTGAGATCCATCTAATTGGGCTGGGGACACTCTGTAGAGAGTGTACTTAGCATGCATGACGCCCTGGGTTCAACTGCTAGCACCATATTAAAAGAAAAGGAAAATAAAACATTTGATTTACACAGTTGAAAAAAGTAAACACTGCTCTTTGCTGGAGTAAGAGTAAAGTCACCCTGCTGTACCGCTCTGAGGTGCTTTGGTGCTGACAGGAAAGAGGACAGATTCCCATAACACCTTCTACAGGCCTTGGCAGAGCAGGTGCTAATGACCCTCACAGGATGGCTCCGCCCAAGCAGCCATTTCCATGAAAACGCCTGAACTGATCCCTCTATTATATTCCTCCACAGTCAGTGTGAAAACCAGGGGGGGACACTGCTGCCACTTAATCACCAGTAAACCAGCTGTCTCACTTCTGCATTCCCCTTGTTATTAAAAAGAAATGCCCTGGAGCTTTAAGAAAGCATGATGACAAGCTGAATAATTCAAAGGCAGTGGCAGAAGGGTGGTGGCAGCGGCTTGGCTCCCCTGTTCTACAGTCCATCGTTCTAGAAAATGCCAGCTGGACGCTTACCCGCTGGGGTGTATGGATGGGAGACAGCGCATCCAAGTCTGCCATGGGAAATTCGACCCCCTTCCTCTTCAGCTCCTCATAGATGTGCACAACACCGGTGAGGTCAGGACTGCTCCGAAAGGCATCAGCCCACGCCTAGGAGGAGAGAGCACAGCCTGTTAGGAAATGGTTCTTAGCCAGGCCTGTCACAGTGCTGGAAAGTCAGTGCGAGCCCTCTGCAATGCCAAGTGCACTGGCAAAACCTATTCTGCTCCTCTCTTCCTGCAATCGCTGCCACGACAAGGCTGGCAAGAGCCTGGCTTTCAGCAGTGCTACTGGGTGTGCACAAAACCACAAAACTTACTTCAGCATGTATTTCCTTGGAGAGGAGGCAGAGAAATAACACCCATGTACTGTGGTGCATCCTAAAATACAGGCATTTTCCTAATGGCAAGGAAATCAATTGCTGGGGCTGTTTAGCTAAAGGGAACAGAAGGCTCGCCTTGATGCCTCTGAGTAGAACATCCACCCTCACTGGTGGAAGCAGGAACTGTAGGCAAATTGAGCAGAAAGGAAAGGAGAAATTGATGTGTGATGGGAAATTCAGGCTCACTCTAGGTTTCCTCAATAAATCAGCAACCACTGACACTGAGCTCGCTCGCCAAGCCCAGACCTGTTGTTGGCAGGTGAGCTGACTCTAACCCAAGGGCGTAAGAGCACATTAGGAGCCGGACTGTGGGCCAATGGCCAAGGTTCACCCCCAGCAATCCTGCTCCCAGACCGTGCTTCTTTCTTGATGTTGCACTCTGATGATTTCAACATACACCTGCCCAAACAGAAAAACCGAATGGAAAGCATGACCACTACACTCCCTTAAATGAAAACACAACAGAGAGGGAAGAGCAGAAATTTAAATCGAGCACCACTTCTGTTGACTTGTGAAACTCAATAGTTAAAAATACTCATACACACACCCTGTTCTTTGGAAGTTACAGAATGTATTAAAAAACTGAAATATAGAGCTGGGGAGATAGCTAAAGGTAAAGCACTTGCCTAGCATTCATGAGGCCCTGGGTTCAATCCCCATCACCACATAAACAAATAAATAGATAACAACAACAATAGACACACACACACACACACACATCATTTTTAAAAAAAAACCACAAAACTGAAGTATAAGTGTCACCTCTAGTGTGTCCCTTCACTACATATAGGAACCCAGAGGGGGCAGTACCTCCTGTGCCCATGCCACTGCCCAGTCTGTCACCATCATGACATTTAACTGTCTCCTACCTCCACCAATGCATTCCAACCAAACCAGAGGCAGCCACAGAATCTCTCTCTCTCTCTTTTTTTTTTTGATACCAGGGATTGAACTCAGTGGCACTTGACCACTGAGCCCCATCCCCAGCCCTATTTTATATTTTATTTAGAGACAAGGTCTCACTGAGTTGCTTAGTGCCTTGCTTTTGTTGAGTCTGGCTTTGAACTCTTGATCCTCCTGCCTCAGCCTTCCGAGCTGCTGGGATTCCAGGCATGCGCCACAGCACCCAGCAGAAACTCTCTCTTTAACCAACAGATCCGTTCAAAGTTAAAAGGTCAGCTTCCAAAAAGCCTCCTTAATTACCACCAGTGCTTCTCACTTACTATGCACAGCACTGTCAGCCTGGCTTTCCTTGATGCCCTTAATTTGCATATTTGGGGATTTAACGCCACCACAGCATCAGGACAGCCTTTCTGGGCCAACACTTCCTTCTGGATTCTGAAGGGAACTGAAGGTGCCTACAGAAGCTGTCAGGAAGGCCCAGCTGGAAGAGCTACGCTGCCTCCACCTGCCTTACCACAGCCCCCTCTTTCGCCTGCTCCATTGCATCTATCCCACTGAAAACTCAGCTGAGTCCTGAGACGCAGCCTCAAAATGCTCTGGTGTTTTCATGTAGGGTCTAAACTTCAGAGGCTAGGGGCTGGGGTATAGTTCAGCAGTAGAGCACTTGCCTAACATGCACAAGGTCCTGGGTTCCAACTCCAGCACCACACAAGCACAAATAAAATAAAAACAAAACAACAATAAAACATATACTCAAGAGTCTAAAGAGCATATTCACAGCCCCCTGGGGGAGAATAAGAGGGAAAAATGCTTGGTGGTGCCTTCTGGTGCCACCCCAGGCCTATTTCTATAGAGGTACAAACAATTCCAGGGACCCCGTTTATTTCCCTGGCTTCACACCCAAGCTGAATTTGAGATTGCAAGAAAACAGACTAAAGAGCCATGCCATGTTGTTCTTTCTAGCCAACGAACATTTCCCTGGGTGCCCTCTTCCATGGCACTCTCCTCCCCTACATTCAGTCACCTAGTAGCTGTGCCTGCCACCAGAGGTCTGGAGAGGAAATGCATATTACAGGATGGGTCCCTGGATTCTCCTGCTAGTAGTTCTTCCCTAGGCTCAGGGTAAGAAAACTATCCTCTGAAAATGTGGGATGTAGTCCCATGCCAGCCCAGGACCAGGGGACAGAGATAGTCTGTGTTCTGGAAAAGGAGCCACTGGGCGTGCTAGGAGGTGCAGATATACAAGGAAAGAATTTAGAGGCCTTTCAGGTCCCTTCTGTCCTTTCCCAGGCCCACACACTCCTGGCCTCAGTAACCTGGGCTTCTGAGAGGCCCTGCCTTGTCAGGGCAAACTCTTCTCTTTGCCTAGGCAAGCAGAGTTGGCATCTGTTACTTGCAGCCAAGCAATCTTGGCTAATGCGCCCTGTCCCCACCTGCCACAATTCCAGCCCCTGTCTGGGACCCCTGTGCAGTCTGGGTGAGATGGCTGCTAACAGAGCATATGTTCCTGACAGCCATCTCCACTGCACAAGATTCTGATGCCAACAGAGGAACACATGGGGGTGGGGAGGACTTTAAAGGAACAGTCATATGTGGAAATCCAGAGATGGGAGAAATCCAGAGACGCTGTGTGTCTCCAACATCTTCTTAGAACATGCCTAAGTAACTGCTCCTGTTGCCCCAGCCAAGTCAGCCACCTCCAGAAGGTGACAGTCTCTTGCCCTTGCACAGAGAAGGCAGCCAGCTGACATTTGTCAGGTTAAACTGAATTCTGTTCTCATAATTACTAAGCATCCTTATTTTCCCACTTCAGAGAACAGAGGAAAGATGGCCACTTAGGCTGTCAACAGACTGAAATGACAGTGCTAATGGGCCCCCACTGGAGGGCTGAGCCAGGGGAGAATCCTCCCTGGGGAGGGGGAGCAAATCCTGGGAGGTCTGGTCGGCCCTGAGTCCCAGGAGCAGGGGGTTGGGGAGGGCGGGGGCTGCCTCCCTGATGGCTGCCTTATCCAAAAGCCAAGTGTCATGGCAGCAGCAACGCTGGCATTCTCTCAGGGTCCCCTATCACAGGAACTGGCCAGTTAAGAACTGAGTGGCCATCTGACAGGAAGTCACACTCTTTAGATAATTCCCTCTTTTCCTGTAGCCGGTGGCTACAGTGTTGGGAGGCTGAAGGCCCCAGAGGCAAGTCTAGTGAGGGGAATAAAGGAGAGATATGCTCATGTTTTTATTTCCTTCATTTCTCTGGACTGTATGCCAAACTGCAGACACAAACACAACCCCCTCCTATTCACTGCTGTGTCTCTCAGGGTTTTGACAGTCTTCAGGCATCAACTTTCAGACTGACAGACAATTGCTGATTGAAACTATGGGTTCTGAGATAACTGTGGACAAAAGGAGGCTGTCTTCTCCTGCTTATGTCCCCAGCTCAGACTTCCTGATCCCCGTGACAGGGTCCCTAGGGGGCTGCCTGTCCACACAGAATGTGGCCAGAGGCCTTCACTTAAGGGAATCTAGTGGTTGTGTTTTTCACTGGATTCTGAGGCAGCCACCAGGCCTCTGACACCTTCAAAGAACACAGCCCCTGCAGCCCCTTCCAGCCCTCCTGCCCCCACTTCCATCACCACCTGGATCCTTCCTACTTTCCTCAGTGGAGAGTATTTTTAGACTCTATTGCTGGGGTGCGGACGGTGGGGTGGCGAGGCACGGCCAGGCTGAGGTTGTTCTACCAGGGTGATTCCATTCCTGTTCCTCAAAACAATAAGGGAAAGCCTGAGGGAGACTGTAGAGGGAGAGCAGCATTCTTGTCTTCTCAGTGAATGAGACTTCATGTGAGGAAAGAGAGAGGAACATGAGCAACAAAACCAGCCAAGGAAACCTTAGGGGCGAAGTGAAAGGTGGCAGTGGAGAAGCCTGTAATATCAAGGAGCACTGGGAGGTTGTAACCAGGGTTTTCTGCTCCCTGTGTCTTTCTCAGTTGGCCTACCAGGGAGACTAGCCCTACCCAGAGGATCAGACACCATGTTGGGGTGGGGGGGGTGATCCACCGAGCCCTTGTACCTGAGTCGGGTGCAGAGTCCTACAACCATGATGCCCATGCATAATTCATGCACTGGGCTTGGTCTCGGGGAACACAGAAGACATTCTTCTTCCAGCTTTCTGAGTGTCAGGACCCTCTGGAATACACGGGCCCGCGGGATTGTTTTTCTGGGGGGGTTGGTGACAGGGTGGCTGTGGATGTCTAGAGGGCAGCCTAAAGACACAAGAAACCTTGATGAGGGACAGGTTTGAGTGTAGGGTGGGGTACCAGTGGATTGTCTTCACAGTTGGCCATGGGGGGCTGAAGATGGCAAACATACACCACTGGAAGTGCCACTTTTGTCCAAATCTGTGACCAGCACTCAAGGAAGGGAACTGGGGGACAGTGAGCTAGGGACAGGTGACATGACAGGACAAGCTCCATTACCCATTTCCCTCAGGGCACAGAAGACTTTAGAAAAGCCGTTTTAAGCGTTGGGTATGTGGTTCAATGGTAGAGCATCTGCCTAGCATGTGCGAGGCAAAAAAAGTCTGAGTGCCCTAAATTTATTCATTGGTCCACCCTGTTGTTACAGAAGCCACACTGTCCAGTAGCTCTGAGTGCCGCTCTTGTCTGTGTTGGATGACCACAACAAAGGTGCAGGCTCCTGAGGAACACTGCAAAGCCTGGAGTGGAAGATCACCAGTCCCCACCTAAAGGATCTTCATCTCCAGCCCCCTGCCTTTCACAGCTGGGTCAGGGGACTGGATCCAGTGTGTCCAGCCTGAATGGGAGCCAGCAAGATCCCTTGAGGCCCCATTCTGCACAGGCCATCATGAGCCAGTGCACACTGCTGCTGCCAAACCAGCAGGGGGAGGCCTGGGGACATGGGTGTGGGCCACTGTGCTGCATGGGCTGACCTCACAGGCCCAGGGCTGAGAACAGGCAGGCAGGAACTTGGCCCCCATTTTTCAGATAAGGAGGCAGATGCCCATGAATTTACCATACTTGCCTGAGGTTAGAAGCAGTGCAGGGAAAAACTGGGAAGAGCTGGGACCAAGGCAGGTGATGATTAGACAAGAAAGCTTCATTTCTAGCAGCAGATCATGCCCCTTAATTTGGCTGTGCTTGTTCTAAGGGTAAGCTGTACCCCAGCAGGCCCAGCCAAGCCTCAGGGTGAGCTGTGTCTGCAGCCACTGCAAGCCCTGCATAAGGGGTTCAGACTGAGGTGCTCTGTCTTTAGTAAGAGAAAGCCAGTAATCCTTCTCCCGCCAGCAATCCCTGGGGGCGTACAGAGGAGTGTAGCCCCAGAAGGAGAGGCTGTGCCGGGTGGAGGGGAAAGAGGAAAGGGTAGGGGAAGGGGAAGTGTAACCCTAAGTGTGTGTATGTGTGTGTGAGGTGCCAGAGGCCACCCTAGAGGAAACATAGAAAGGGACTCTTCTGTCATCCCTACTCCCTCCCCACCTCAGAACTTCATTGAAAAAATACTTATTGACCATCCATTCTCCATATTCAACTGCTCTACATTCAACTGAGCCTGACTCTTGAGGAATGGAGTGACACAGACAACAGAAAAACCAGCAAAGCTGCACTTGGAGACCATAAAAGAGGGTGATGTGAGAGGGAAAGAGTATCTGTGTGTGTACTTTCAATCAGGTGGCCAGGAGGTTTCTGTGGTGTTTGAGGGTGAATAGGAACTGACTTCTCCAAGAGCCTGGGCAGGACTTTCCAGGCAGACGCCGCAGCTCCTCAGTTGGCCCCTCTTGATCCTCTCTGTCTCGTGACCAACCACCCTGGAGAGCCCTTGTGCCCATTCCACATGGCTTTGTCTGCTCAGCAACCTGGGTCTGGCTGCCTCCCTCTGCCCTTATGGAAACCCACTCCCCGTCCCCTAGCGTGGTCTCCTGTCTCCTCTTGACACCTGCAGACTGTGTCTGACTTTGTCTGCTGATAAGGGTGACTAGCTATGTTAATGTCCTTGTGGAGGAGCTGGGACTGTAGCTCAGTGGCACAGCACTTGCCTAGCATGTGTGAGGCACTAGGCTTGATCCTTAGCACCACATAAAAATAAACAAAGGTATGCTGTTTGTCTATAATTACAAAAAAAAATGTATTTTTAAAATGTCCTTCTGGATTTTTTTTTGTACCAGGGATTGAACCCAGGTACCAAAATCGGTGGCTTAACCACTGAGCCACATTCCTAGCCCTTTTTTATATTTTATTAGAGACAGGGTCTCGCTGAGTTGCTTAGGGCCTTGCTAAATTTTCCGACGCTGGGTTTGAACTTACGATCCTCCTGCCTCAGCCTCCTACGTGGCTGAGATTATAGGCATGCGCCCCCATACCTGGCTTTCCTATGGATTTTTGTGTCCTGTTACCAGGTGCTCTAAAATCAGGTCTGTGCACGGACCAGCTCAGAAACCTTCAATGGCTCCCCACTGCCTACAAGGACCAAGCCTAAGCCCCTCAGCATTCACAGTCCACAGGTGCTACATATCCTCTGGCCTCATCTCCTTCCTGCCCTGCCCACCACAAGCCTGGTCCTAGACAGTCTTCATTATACCCTGCTCCCCATGAGATGGTTTTCCCAACATGCCCCCAAATTCTTTGACACTATGTCTTCAAGAGGTGGGATTTAATTTCCCTACTCTAAAGACTGGAGCTGGTCATTGTCTTCTTACGGAATAAGATAGGAGAGATGGTTTGTGACCTCAGAGACTGGATCATTAAGACCTATACTTGGATTTCTGCCAATAGTTAGCAAAAAAAGGAGGCTTCTCACCAATAGCCATGTGGAGGTAACCTCTTAGGAGCCTCCAGCCCAAGTCCGGCCTTCAGATGAATGCATACTCATGAGGCCCCAAGCAGACTCACCCAACAAGCTGATTCAGAGTGCTTAGCCCACAGAAACCATGTTATCATAAACAATCTTTTTTTTTTTTTTCAAGCTGCTAGGTTTGGGGATAATTTGTTGCAGAGCCAGTAACAATGAAGACACCCCAAATGAGTCAACTGCTCTCTCTGATGCTTCTAGGCTTCTGCACATGCTGTGATGTCTCTCATACTCTGACCTTTCCACCAAGTTCCTCCTCATTCTTCAGGATACAACAAAAATGTCATCTCTTCAGTGGAATCCCTTAAAACCATGTCCACCACCCCAGAGTTGGCCCTTGCCCTATGACCTCACCAACCCTGCACACAGCTCTAACATGCCCCTTCCCACTCCACATTGTCTCAGCGGACTGTTGAGGCCCCCGCACCTGCCTACCTTTGTGGGCAGCATGGGGCCGGGCACCCAGAAGTTTTCTTGAAGCTTCTGTCAACTGGTTAAAGAGCTACTGTTTTGGATTTCACTCCAGTGGGATAAGCATAAATAAAATAAGTATTTCACCATAAATATTTAAGGCCAGAAGCTTCCATTTGTCCCTCTAAATGGTGGGAGAGCATGAGGACTCCGTAGAGGCCCCATCTTACTCTATCCCAACAGACTGGGTGAGGGAAGCCAGCCTACCTGGATCAGAGCAAGCACTTTGTCCTGTACAATGGTGGGAGGGTTATTCTTGGGAGAGATGATTTTGACCAGAACGCTGTCGATGAAGTCTCGGTTGGCCACTAGGATGTGGAAGCGATGGCCACAGTTCTTCACACACGTCTCCAGCACCTGATGTGGGGAGGGAGGCAGGGTCACCACTGTGAGAGCTGGAGAAGACTCCAGGACCTGAGGCGGGCAGCTGGGGTCCCCATCCCCTGTCTTGCTCCTAGATCATCTTTCTGACACGTCTCCTCCAGAGCCAAACCTCCATGCACACACATTCCCACACTCTAATTCAGCTGTCCCTTCGAGGATGACAGCAGCCCCTTGCTGACTGAAGTCTCCTGTCCCTGCACAATAATCAGGCAATTAGTTGGTAATTGAGGCACCGGTTTTGCATGAGAAGGATGCTGGTGTTTTAATGGGATCAAAATGACTGAGCGGTCCCTGAAAATTAGCATTTTAACTCCTCCCTCTGGGCCTCTGGGTGTGAGGCATTAGCCAGTGAGAGACAGGCTCTGTCACAAGAGGAGGCTGCTGTGACAGCGTAAATTGCCTGGTGAGTTACTGGCCCTTACGTGTGAGGAACCAAACATGCTCACACCCCCCACATACCCTGCTTCTGCAAACAAAGTTGGCAATGACAAGGGATCTTCTACCCTGACAAATGGTTTGTGGGCCTCAGCTGCTAGTGGCTTTAAGGTACATGTTCAAATCAGACACTGCCTGCTACTCCTTTGTCCAGATGGGTCTATAGGCCTCAGCTGATCAGAAAGACTGGCACACAGGCTCTGACCAGATGGCCCGTGTGGGCTAGACTCAGTTCTGCCACTATCTCCCTATGCAGCCCAGAACAAATATCTCAGGGCCTCAGCTTCTTCACCTGTCAAGTGGGGACAATGAGTCCTCCCTTGCAGGATGGTTGGGAAGATTAGAGAGAATATGTGTAAAGCGGTTAGCAGTGTCTCATGTGGGGTTGGGGACCAACAGAGACTACAATTACATATGAGTTACAATTCAGAAGACTGCTTACCCACTTGAATAAAGGAACAGCTTCTTGTTCTTCCATAGGATAAGTAGGAACCTCCTTGGAATTCAGAAGTTCTCACAGGAGGACCTCACCATCCTTGAACACAGAGCTCTGCCCCTCTCAGCTCTTTGGAAATCAACCCATAGGATTACCTGGTCCATTCCATGCCACCCTTACCTCTGGTGCCCAGTCAACTGGCTAAGAAATGCCTCCTTGAAAGGACATCATCAGTGACAGGACATTTCTGACTGCCTTGGTTATTCTCATGTGCCCAAACTCATCTGAGGACAGGTTAACTTACACAGCCATTCCAAGGTCTGGTTCAGACTGCTGGACTTTACCTTGACAAACCATGACTGTAGAAGTTCCAGAACTGTGATGTGGACTGAATACTTGCCACATGCCAGGCACTAGGAGGGATCTCTCCATATCACATGTAATTTCATTCCATTCTCACAACTAATTCGTTCTCTTTAAAGTGGACCTTATTACCCCATATTTTTAAAGTTAAAAGGCTTAGAAAGAGGAAGAGATGGTTCTAGGCCCAATTGTTGGTCAATGTGAGAGGCAACACGGAAACTCAGAACCACTTTCCTAGGAACTCTGGTCTTCCCACTTCCCCAGGGCACTGAACCACCCCAACTACAAGCCCCCTTCCAAGGAGCCACATCAGCTGAGAATCTCTCAGATGACAGGTAATTATATTCCAGATTTCTTCTCCCTTCATTTGTCCCTTGAAATAACCCTATAAGTTGGGTATTTTTCCATTTTAGAGATGAGGAAACTGAGCCTCAGAGTTGTCATGCACCTAGCAGGCCACACTGGGACATTCCACCCCTGGCAGCTCAGCAACCAGCCAGAAATTTTGCTTCCCCCATTTCTCCTGCAGTGCCCACAGGCAGCCTGGGGATCTAGCTCCTCTTCCAAGGAGGACACAGGAAAGACACTCTTCTTGCCTTTAGGGAGCATGTCACTAAGTTCTACTGACAGTAGACCTCAAGGTCAATGTGTCCCAGCCTGGCCTTGAGAACACCCCCAGCAGATGTGTATGTGCTGCAGAGCAGCCCAAAGCCTATCAAGCAGGAGACACAGCAGGTCCTCCTGGGCTGGCAAGAGCCACTTCAGGTCACTTGCCAAAAAGGCCCTGGGAAGATCTGTCCCTCTGGTTTATAAGCCATGAGACACAAGGGGGAATTTTCCAAGGTGCAGCCAAACCCGTGGAGTAAGCCAAAGGGGCCTGACGTGATCGGAAGCAGGCGCTTCCTGTGTATACACAAAGTCCTGAGCAGACAGCCCTTCAGGGTCTCTAGCTCCTATTTTGGGTGAATACTAACAATCTTGGCAGGAACAGACACAAAGGTAGGAAACAAAAACCAAGGGGACAGCCGGCTGTGGTGGTGGACACCCGAGATCCTAGCCATTCGGGAGGCTGAGGCAGAAGGATCACAGGTTTGAGGTCAGTCTCAGTAACTTAGCAAGACCCTTAGCAACTTAGTGAGACCCTGTCTCAAAATAAAAAATAAAAAGGGCTGGGCAGCTCAGTGGTAGAGTGCCCCTGGGTTCCATTCCCAGTACCAAAAATACAAAATATAAGAACGAAAGCAGGAAGACTGAGAACAACTAATGGGGCATGTGGAGTCATCAGAGCAGAGGTGAGACCATGCAAAATGTGCCATGTGAGGCCCTGGGTACAGGGACAATGACTCTGCACATTCACAGATCTCCTGAAGACATCAATCAATGAGCAGCAAAACCCAACCATTAGGAAAAGTCAGATGATGTTCAGGCCTGTGAAGAAGTTTCAGATACCAGGGAAATGCCCTGACCTGTCAGAGCTCAGCCCCTGGTGGTGTGGGTTATCGACAACTCATTTGGGGCATCACTCCAGGTTTAGTGAACCAGGTTTAGTGACTCAAATTCTGAGAAAAATAAAAGCTTTCAACTCTCTGCTTCTCAACTAGCATTTTCTCCTTTACTGTTCACATCCCAATTCCCTGGCAGAGAGAACTCTCCTAATAAGTTTTGGGGTCTACTTGGGCAATGAATCCAAATAGTTGCTTTAAAAGGAAATATGTTATGGCTGTTTTGGTTAAATAACCCACTATTTCAAACCTACAGAGAAGTCGACATGCTGACCTGTTATAGTTTCTATTCTAAGAACTCACTGTGGCCCAGATTTTGCCACATCTGAAAAACTGTTAGCTTTTAAGACAGAAATAGCAGCTGAAGTCTCCCTTTTAATTCTCTGACATCTTAAGGAGGGCAAAAATCTGGTCCACTCTTCCTGAAAGGAGTCACTTGGTTAACGTTTTCAAGAACCCTTGTAGCTATTTTCAGTTTTTACCCCAAACAAAAGATCATTTTATAATGGCAAACCACAGCTCAATACCTTACTAGCTGTGAAGGCTGGGCCAAACCTCTAGATCTCTCTGAGCCTCAGTCTCCTCATCTGGATGAGGGAGATAATGAAACCCATTTTGGAAACTGCTATAAATGTCTGTATCAGTATCTGAAAGTTTAGCAGTCTAGGGCAGGTACAGGATAGGTGGAAGTGAACCTTTTTAAAATTTTTTCAATACTGGGGATTGAAACCAAGTACTATATCACTGACATACATCCCAAGCCTTTTTAAAAATTCTTATTGCTATGGTTTAAATGTGAGGTGTCCCCCAAAAGCTCACGTGTGAGACAATGCAAGGAGGTTCAGAGGAGAAATGATTGGGTTGTGAGAATCTTAACCCAATCAGTGAATTAATCCCCTGATAGGGATTAACCAAGTGGTAACTGAAGTGGTGGGGTGTGGCTGGAGTAGGCGGGCACTGGGGCATAGCTTTGGGGTATGTATATTTGTATCTGGCAAGAGGAAAACTCTCTCTCTGCTTCCTGGTCCCCATGATGTGAGCTGCTTCTCTCTGCCACCCTCTCCCGCCATGATGTTCAGCCTCATCTCGAGCCCCGAGGAATGGAACCAGCTTTCTATGGATTAAGACCTCTGACACTGTGAGCCCTCAAATAAACTCTTCCTCCTCTATAATTTGTGCTGGTTGGATCATTTAGTCATAGCAGCGAAAAAGAGGACTAAAACACTTACTTTGAGAACGGTCTCCCTAAGTTGCCCAGTCTGGCCTTGAACTTTCAATCCTATCCTCCTGCTTCAGCTTCCTGAGTAGCTGGACTACAGGAATGCCAGAGCACATGTGAACATTTTATAAAGAGAAAACTGTCACCTACAGTCTCAGAGCAGGCTGGTGGCAGGAAGGGGATCAACCCCAGCCTCTGGCTTCTCTGCTCTGGACTTTTGTACCTGTCCACGCCTTATCTTCTGATGGTTTACATTTACCAGACGGAAGCTCACTCCCATGTCAGAGTAGGGCAGGAAAAGCCAAGGGTGCTACCGGAAGGCTCTGCTGAACTTCAGTGGCACAGACCCCATGCCTGAGACTGTGCCAAGTGGACAGAGGGAAGGCCCGCCCTGTGGAGCAGACAAGGCTAGAGAGCAGTACTCACTGTCAGCGCCAGCATCACTTCCCTGTAGTTCCGGTTCCCACTGAGCCGCTTCTTCAGGGCCCGGATGGCATCCTTTGGCCTGGAGAAAAGAACAAGCATAGTAAGATCCTCCCAAGTCCCATTCTGGGGTACTATCCCACAGATTCACTTCCACATGCATCAACTAGCATATATACAAGGTTATTCACCACACCATGTTTGTAAATATACATGACTGGAAGCAAACCAAATGACCACCAATAGGAAATGAGTTCAATTACATCATGGCTCATCCACACAATGGAATACTAGGCAGCTGGGAAAAAGAATAAAGAAACTCCTTATACACTATTATGGACCAAACTTGAAGACATGTGCACAGGGGCTGGGGTTGTGGCTCAGAGGTAGAGTGCTCGCCTAGCACATGCGAGGTGCTGGGTTCGATCCTTAGCACCACATAAAAATAGATAAATAAAATAAAAGTATTGTATCCAACTACATCTAAAAATTTTTTTTTAAAAAGACGTGCACAAAGTTTTTTGTGGAACAGTACATAAGGTATGATGGTATTTGTTATAAAAGTACAGCAAAGATATATGCAGTACATGTCCAGGTCAAGAAGAGCGTCTCTGCAGGGCATGATAAGAACCTGGTAACAGTGGTTGCCCCCAAGAAGGGGAAATGGGTAGTGGAGGTAGTGGGGGATTTTTCATTGGAGTCACTTTTTGCAGACATTTTCAATTTTGTATCACAAAATACATGTTGTTTCCTCAAAATAGTAACTAACCCACTGGTGGATGGGGGCACTGAAAAGAGTTTTTCCAGACCACAAGAGAGATATGGCTAGATCTTTGCTGAAGCTTCCATTCCTTCTAGCTCCATGATGGAACTCCTTCTGCCATAGAAAACTCAGTGAGTCTCCTCAAAGCCCAAGGGTTTCTGGGATTTCAGGTTATAGATATGATGTGGATTCCCATGAGGAATTCTACAGAATCACAGGCAGTCCCAGTTTACAAATGGGCCATATTCTTTGTTCCTAAATTGATAGCTTTTTGATTTCTTTCTTAAATTACTGTTATAACTGAGGGTTGGGATCCTGAGGAGTCCTCCAAGCACACAAGGAAAGTTTGGCTTTAACATGTTATTTAACTTATTATTTCTTTCTTTTTCTTCTTCTTTTCTTTTTTTTTTTTTTGGTACCAGGGATTGAACTCAGGGGCACTCGACCACTGAGCCACATCCCCAGCCCTATTTTGTATTTTATTTAGAGATAAGGTTTCACTGAGTTGCTTAGCACCTCGCTTTCAGCTCTCCTGCCACAGCCTTCTGAACCGCTGGGTTACAGGCATGCACCACTGCGCCTGGATATTATTTAATTTATTCTAATCCAGGATTCAAGAAAGTTGTGGTTCTAAGAGCTGCCCCAGGCACAGAGCCCCTGCCTCCTGGAGCCCCATCACCCTGTGCTCTGGGGAGCCCCACCCAGCTGCAGGCCAGCCCTTTGCTATCACAAGCGGGCTCCTGACTCCCACTAAAAGATGTGTCACTGCATCTCCCTCTCTCCTAGGATGAGTGTTTGAGAGTCTGGGTCCTCCTACTTCTACAGTTCTAACATATTTGTACTCTATTTACCAAATGGAGATGTCCTTTCAAGTGTGTGTAAGGAAGTCAGGGGAGGGGAGGGTGGAAGCTTTGCCAATTGGCCTAATTCACAGGGAAAGACACAGTAAGCAGCAAGGCTTCTGGAAAAAATTTAAATCCCCTGAACCTCCATTTCCCATTCCCAACTTGAAACATAGCTGCCCTATGGGAATTCTTGGCTCCTGAGTCAAAGACCTGATGGGATGGGAATGGGCCCTGGCCAAGTATGTTTGCTGTATGGCTGCAGTTTCCAAACGGGGATGCTGATTTCTGCAAATACGGGACTTGAGCAGTAGTTCTATGCTCTGATGGGCTGAGCTAGTGAAAGTCAGCAGTTATTGGCCAGGTGCACAGACTGATTTCCTCTCTCAAGGGCTCTGCCAATCCATGGTCAACCCAGACCCACAAGACCTGCAGCTGCCATCCCTCTCAGTGCAGTCTCTTTCCTCGCCTCCTGAACTTACATGGAGCAGAAAAAATGGACACAGCTTTCCCTCCAAGGGCAGCAAGCACTTGTGCTGGCAGAACCAGCTCTCAGGCAGTGGGGCAATCAAGACAGACAGCAGGCTCCCAGTTAGGTTTAAACTGAAAATTCATCCCCAGGCTGTGGGAAGTGCTGCCTGAGAGTGATTGGGTGAACACAAGAGCAAGTATTTATCTCTGTCCCCAGGGGAGAAGCTTCAGAGAGGAGCATCACAGTCAGGTCAGAGGAACTGCAAAGTCTCAAGGAGCTGCTGCAGATTAGACAGCTAGAATCAGAAAACCAGGGCTGGGGTTGTGGCTCAGCGGTAGAGCGCTCGCCTCGCACATGTGAGGCCCTGGGTTTGATCCTCAGCACCACATAAAAATAAAATAAAGAACAACTAAAAAATAAAATATATATATTAAAAAAAAGAAAGAAAGAAAACCAGAGAAGGCAAGATAAGCTGAGTCAAGGGCCCTGATGGAGCAGGCAGGAGAGATCAGGCAAGTATAAGAGGCATCAAACCTCAGGAGCACTCACTGGAAAGGCCAGGGCTGTCATGGTAGTCCCCTAGGTCCCCATGATCCCACCTCTGCAGCCCCCTCCCACCCTGGACTCCTGAGAGCCATGCTTTCCAGTCATACAGCAAGCTCATCACTGGTCCCCAGGGCCTGTAGACCATTGGGGCTTCAGTTCCAGCCCTGCTCTTCTGAGAAGCCCTGCTCTTCTGAGAAGCATTCTCATTTCCCATTGCCCCTCCTCGATCACCCTGAAAAAACACACCCATACACACACACACACACACACACACACACACACACACACACACGCTCAGCCATGAACTCGCTCTGCTCCTTCTGTGTCCCTCCAGCGTAGAGGCTACAGTACAGACAAAGACTCAGTGAACTGGGGAAGAGATGTCATGAAAATGACCCAGGTCAGCAGATCCTTATCAGAGTTTCAGACCAGTATTGCCTGGGGAGCAATTCCCAAATACACATGTGTGTCCTAATTAGGTAGGTCTCGGGCAAAGCCTGGTAAACAGGGTCTCAGTCAGGCACTCATGGTTAATGAACACTGGATTGTCATACAAGGCCTCAGGCATCAGAGTTCCTCAGGTCAAAGGTGACCTCAGCCTTGGAAATTGAGGAGAGACCAGAGAGAGGCCGGTGGGGCAGTTCACCAATATGCACCTGCCAGGACCTTAAAGGATAAGGAGCAAGTCCATCTACATAGCATGATGCTGTAGTCTGGATCTTGTATGTCCCCCAAGGCCCAATGGTGAAGTCCTGGACCCTAGCTTGTGGTGCTATTGGGAGGAGGTGGAACCTTTAGAAGGTAGGGTCTGGTGGGGGGAAGTTAAGCCATGGTCTCCAGTTTAAAAAAAAAATGCTCTGCAAAAAATACAGGAAGTTCAGGCACAGCTTCAGTGACTGGACCCAGGTGAGCCCAGGTTTGCATCCTGCAGGTTCCCATCTTACTATGCTGTGAAGCTTTTGGCAAAAGACTAAACCACTGTGGCCTCAGCCTCCTCACCATTAAAACTGGCTGTCCCTATTTTATAGGACTATTGGGTGCTGCATGAAATGATGCAATCTAGGGCTGGACATGGGGGGTGGCACAGGGCAACTGCTCAGAAAATGGCAGACAGACAAAGGCTCAGGCACACATACACTCACACAGGGTCAGACAGCAAAGAGAAGAGCAGACAGGGTCAGACAGCAAAGCCACGCAGATCATTCCCAAACACTGGCCAGATAACTCCTACCACAAATGAAAGTGATGATGATGGTTTTGGGCAGTGGAAATCCTTAAAGGATAAGGAGCAAATCCATCTACATAGCATGATGCTGTAGTTTGGATCTTCTATGGCCCCCAAGGCCCATATGGTGAAATCCTGGACCCTAGCTTGTGGTGCTATTGGGAGGAGGTGGAACCTTTAGAAGGTAGGGTCTGGTGGGGGGAAATTAGGTCATTGAAGGTGCCCTTGAAGTGCATCTCGGGCACTTCCTATTCCTCTTTGCCTCCCAGCCACCATGAAGGGAGCAGCTTCCTCTGCTACATGCATTCTTGCCATATGTACTGCCTCATCACAGGCCCCAAAGCAAATAGCCAACAAACCATGAACTAAAACCTCTCAAAATTTTAAAACTATGAGCTAAACTAAGGCATTTCTCTCTTTTTTTTTTTTTTAAAGTCAATCATCTCAGGTATTTTGTCACAGTAATGAAAAGCTGACTAACATAGGAATGTGGACCTAGTCATGTAGACAGATCTTTCATGTATATTTATTCCTTTAATCCTTATAACAACCCTATGAGATAAGGTACTGTTAGTAACCCCAGCCTATAAACAGCAAGACTGACTGAGACACAGGGAGATGTAACGTCTCCCGAGATCATACAACAAGTGAACAGTGACCTAGGTTTCCAGTCCAGGCAGATGGCTTCAGGCTTCACACTGTTAATCCATCCACCACATTATGCTTCCTATGTCTGCTGCACACACTGCTCTGCAGCCTGGGGATTCCACTCCCCGCCTCCCACGGCCTACCCCGTCATCCACCTGCCTCTCCTAGAAGGTGCCCTGGTACCCTAGAAGACTCCACTTGAGCGTTACCTCCTCCTCCAAGAAGGCTTTGCTGTTGACAGCCTCCAGGCTGGCTGGTGGCTACTGCATTAGTCTGTCTCCACAGCCATATTGAGCTTCTTCCTCTCTCTCTCTCTGCCCTTGTCATGCTGTGTTATGATTATGTTTACATGCCTGCATCCCTCATAAGACTGTGAGCGCCTGAGGGACTTTATTCATTTATTCCCTTTATTCCTCAACAAATATTTACTGAGAGCAGATCATGTGATGCTGTTTTTAGGATTAGGGCTAACCTAGTGATAAAAGAGATGGAATTCCTGCCCTCGTGGAGCCTACAGACTAGCAGGGGTTGTGGCACAAGACAGACACTGATCTCACACTGATGCATAAGTTTAAACTGGGATGAACGTAAGTATAATATCAGGTACTATGGAATCACCTAACAGAGGACTTGTCCAAATTGGAGGGAAGGGGGCCAGTGCCAGTGAAGCAAGGTTTGAGCCCAGATCCTGTGAGTGTTGGGAACCATTTAGAGAAAATGGCCAGCTGGGGAAAACAAGGAACAGTAGTCAGAAGCTCTCCAGAGAGGACCAAGAGAGAATGGGTGGGCACCTCCCATCAGCCCAACTCGTGGTTTTTTTTCCTCCCACTTGGGAAGGGACTTCAGACAACAATCTCATAATTGAGGTAAAATGAAAAATCCTCTCTCACTCAAACATGCACCAGCAGGAGCCTGGGCCACCAGAGGGAATGGGTGTCCGGACCTTCTGTGAGCTTCAGCTTGAGTTAGCAAGCACCAGCTCAGCCCCTTTGGAAAGGTTTCTGCTCCTGCCTTCAAGCCACATACTATTTGTGCAATTCACTGAGAAAGGAGAGTTGTGGACATATTTGTATGATGTTCATATTGTGGAGAATTTTAAACTGGGGATAGGAATGCAGAGAATTCAAGGAGCTGAAAGATCAGTGGGGCTGAAGGGCCTGGAGTGGAGCTGCAGAGAGGCGTGGCTGAGGGTTTTCACCCTAAGAGCCTGAGAAGTCCCTGAGACTTGTTGGCAACAGGTGGCTTGCCAAGATCTGAGGCAGGGTCTAGATGGGAGGGAAAAGGGTGAAAGCAGATGCCTAGAAGAACAGAGCAGAAGAGAAAAGGACACACCTGACCTGGACCTCCTTTCCAGCCTGATTCCAGATGTTCCTTCTTTGCCTCGTGCATCCAAGACCATAAGTGTATCTTTCAACTCACTGACCCTTTGTATGCCACCCTGAGCTACAGAGCACACTTTTTTCATCCTGTCAATCTTAAGCCCCAGACTAAAGCCTCCTCCAGGACACCTCTGCACCTGCCTCTCTTTCAGACCCATGGCATTGGGCACAGGCCTTGGCCACAGTCCCAACAGTGCTCCTAGGTAAGCCCTCAAAGACGGGCTGGCACATCCCCTTTGGCATCTTGGAGGACTAACCCTCCACCTGTAGGGGCTAAACACAGCTGGATATCTGGATAGATGAATAAATAAGTGGCAACTGAAAGGGATGCAAGGAATAAAGGAACCCAGAGTTCCTGCCCCTGCCCTCAAGCTACATAGGTATTTGTGCAATTCACCAGAAAAAGAAGAGCTTTGAAAGTCTGAAGGAAGGCAGCCAGGCTGTTTCTAGTGATTACGGTATTAGAGAAGGGCCAGTGCAGGCCACTGCCCCCAACTCCAGAGTCACCTGTGCAGTCACCCTGTAGCATCTCTCCTGGGAGCTGAGCTGGTAGCAGACCCCTCAAGTCTGTTCCATCTCAGAACATGGCAGTTCCATCCTGTGCCTCTGCAGGCTCCAACCTTGGGAGTTATTTTTGACTCTTTCTCACATCTCACACCAGCAAATTCCATTGGCCCTATCTTCTAAATCTATACAGAATCTAATAACTCCGTACTCTCTCCCCTATTACTACCCTCCTCAAGCTCACCCACACCAGGATGACTGTAAGAACCTACCTGGTTTGTCTGCTTCTAGCCTTGGCCTGCCTCCAGCCAGGCCATTCTGAACACAGTGGACAGGGCAATCTCTTTAATATGGAAATCTGAACATGCCTCTTCCTGATCAAACATCCCTGTGAGTTCCCTCTCACCAAAAGCTGAAGCTACCTTGGTGCCTATGCAGCCCTGCACTTCTGGATGCCCTTCACATCCTTGACATGATTTTGGGCCTTTACTATAGAGCCACTTACTATTCTTCAAACACACCAGATACACTCTGCCTAGGATTTTTGGACTTGCTGTTCCCTCTGCCTGGATAGTTCTTCCTTGGTATAATCCTCACTCCCTCATCTCCTTCAAGACTTTGTTCAAGGTCACCTTCTTGGTGAGATTTCCTTGATTACTATTTAAAATTTCTAATTCCCAGCCTTCTCTATCCTTGCTCCCTCCTGTCCCCATCTGTGTTTTAATTATCTTCTTCACAGCCCACCTTCCCACTCTAGACTAGCAGCTCCTCGAGGGCAGGGAAGGAGTTTGACTTGTTTACTGCTATGCTGCTTCTACTTAGAACAGGACCTGGCACAAGGTAGTCATGTCACATATATCTGCTGAATGAAAGCAGGTCCAACCTTCTGAAGCTAAGTAATTGGCCATTTCATATATGGAGGGATAGTAAGTTAACTACCAAGATTCACAGGTTTGCCTGGGTCCCAACTTTTTCTTGCACAGTCAGGACCCAGCAGTCAGAAGCCCTCAAGTAAGGGTCAGGAAGCATATGGGCACCCTACCATCAGCCCAACTTGTGGGTTTTTTCTGCTGCTTGGGAAGGGACTTAGCCATCTTATAGTGGAGAAGAGCATGGAAAAATCCTCAAGAATCACCTGGGAATAGAAGAAGGCATAGTGACTGTAAATAAAGGGCTTATATTGTGGAACTGGGATAAACACAGAGTAGTTTGGAAGAAGTACAAATAGAGTGGACTTTAAAGTAGAAGGAGATAACACAAGGAACAGTAAGAACAAACAGATCCAGGAGTGCAGGAGCACAAGAGGGGCAAGTCATGGGTTAAGTCACCCATGCCAGAAACACTCAGTTGCTCTGTGCCATGAGTGCCCCTTGCTCATTCCCTGCCTTGTCTGACCACACTCTGGATCGCCTTCTGTGACTCCTGGGTCTCTTGACCAACAAACCAGGGCAGAGATAGCCCCACATTTGCCAAGGGATTGCAGAGGCTGAGAGGAGGGCAGGAAAGGTAAAGATTTGGTAATAGAGACGAACAGCCACTAGGGACTGGGTAACCAAGCAGTTTAATTTCCACTTATGATTCAAAGCAGGTGATTACCAGGTTGGGGGAGAAGGGACAGAAACAAATGGGAGAAAAAAAAAAAAAACAATCAATGGCTTATCAGTGAACAGACTAAAACAAAACTGGAAGTCGAACCCACCATCCTTGAGCCCTGACCAGCTCTGAGTGACCCCAGAGAGTGGAGGGAGGCTTTGGGGGTGGGGGCGGTTGGCAGGGACACATACCCTTCTTCCGTCTCATTGATGATGTCACAGATCTCCATGTTCAATGTCCAGTCCTCACTCTGCAGGGAGCCATCAGTTGCCTTTTCTGTGAAATCATAGAGAACACTATTTTACATTTCTCCTGGAATAAGGAGACCCAGGAAGGAAATGAGAGATGAGAACAGAACCACACATTCTCTGCCCAAGCAGATAGGCTGAGCCGATGGATCCAATCTGAGGGTGCTGCTTTCATGAAAGAACACTCATAATTTAATTTCCACTTCTGATTCAAAGCATCATAAATGGGCCTGGGGGCCAGGGTCATGACAAGGCCCTTCATTCTCTAAATTCCAGACCAGAAAGCTCCAGCCTGAGCCATCACAAATCACCCAACACACGAGCATGTCAAGTATATGCACCTACAGGTTCAGCAGCCAAACCATCTGGGTTTGAATATAGGCCCCATCATTTACTAGTTATGTAACCCTGGGCAAATTACTTAACCTCTACATGCCAAAACTACAGTACCTACCCCCACAGAATTGTTAGAACATTAAATGGGTTAATATATGTGAAATACAACATGACAGTCAGTCAGTCCTCTATAGGTACTTGTTATCACAATGACTAAAGATCAACTGCTGTAGTTGAAAACCACATTTTAGGGGCTAAGGTTGTGGCTCAGTGGTAGAGTACTCGCTTAGCATGTGTGAGGCACTGGGTTCGATCCTCAGCACAATATAAATGTGAAAATAAAGATATTGAGTCCACCTAAAACTAAAAAATAAAATTAAAAAAAAACACATTTCAGAAAAGAAGGTGGAAGAAGGGAGCATCATTTGGTAGGCTGCTTATTAGGTTTGTTATCATGGTTTGGATCTCAGATGTCCCCCAAAAGCCCATATGTTAAAAGCGTGGCTGCCAGTCTGTGGTACTACTGGGAGACGGTGGAACCTTTGGAAAGTGAGGCCTAGTGGATGAAAGTTGGGTCGCTGTGGGTGTGCCCTTAAGGAGATACGGGGACCCCAGCCTTTCCTTTCTTTGCTCTACCATGTGCTTCTCATCTACACAGTCAACCAACGTGGACTAAAACCTCTGAAACTAGGCGCCAAAGGAAATCTTTCTTCCTTATAAGTTGTTTTTCTCAGGTATTTGTCACAGTGACAGAAAGCGAACACACACAGTATGTTACATGTTTTATTTCATAAAACGTATATTGTTTTATTTCATCCACAAAACAACCTTCTGACCATTCAATGGAGAAAGGACAATCCTTTCAACAAATGATGCTGAAAAAAATTGGCTCTCCACACACAATAGAATGAGGTTGGACCCTTATCTTATACTTAACTCCAAATGAATTAAAGATGTAAACATAAGAGTGAAAACTATAAAAGTCATTGTGACATTAGATTTAACAATGATTTAAGGGATATAATGTTAAAGGCAAAAGAAAAAAAAAGAAAAATTGAACTGCATCAAAATTTAAAACTTCCGCCAGGTGTGATGGTGCACACCCGTAAGCTCAGCTAGTCAGAAGGCTGAGGTCAGCCTTGGAAACTTAGTGAGATTCTGTCTCAAAATAAAAAATAAAAAGTACCAGGATATAGTTCAGCATCTCTGGGTTCGATCCCCAGAAACCAACCAATCAACCAATCAACAAAAACTTCTGTGAATTAAAGTACACTATCAACAGAGTAAAAAAGCAACCTATGGAATGGGAGAAAAATCTTTGCAAATCATATATATGATAAAAGGCAAATATTCTGAATATACAAAGAAATCCTACAACTTAAAAACCAAAACCCACCCAATTAAAAAATGGGGGAAAGAGGGCTGGGGTTGTGGCTCAGTGGTAGAGTGCTTGCCTAGCATGTGTGAGGCACTGGGCTTGATTCTCAGCACCACATATTAAAAACAAACAAACAAACAAAAAAAAACAGATAAGTGAAATAAAGTTCCATCAACAACTAAAAAAAAAAATTTTGAAATAAAATGGGGGAAAGAACCCCAAAGTTGTACGTTATGTATATTTTTCAATTTAAAAAAAAAAAAACACCAAAAAAAGAAAGACTATACATAGACATTTCTCCAAAGAAGATATACAAATGGGTCACATATAATTAAAAGATATTGCAACATCACTAAGCATTCAGGAAATGCAAATCATCTTACACTCATTAAGATGGCTACTATAAAAAAGCAATAAGTGTTGGTGAAGATGTGGAGAAACTGGAACCTCCCTGTACTGTTGACAAGAATGTAAAAGAGGGTGGTCACTATGGAAAACAGTATGTGGGGTCCTCGAAACATTAGACACAAACTTACCATAAGATCCATTAGGTCTTTTGAGTGTATACTCAAAAGAATGGAAAGCAGGGATACTTGTATACCCATGTTCATAGCAGCGTTATTCATAATGGCCAGAAAGTAGAAACCATCCAGCTGTCCATTCACAGGTAAATGGATTTTAAAAAACATAGTCTATTCATACAATAGACTATTATTCAGCCTTAAAAAGGATGAACTTCTAACACATACTAAAACATAGCTGAGCTGCTGGGCGTGGTATTGTAGGTACCTGTAATCTCAGTGATTTGGGAGGCTGAGGCAGGAGGATCACAAATTCGAGGCCAGCTTGGGCAACTGAGTGAGACCCTCAGCAATTTAGCCATACACCTGGGTTCCATGCCAGCACCAACAGAACAAAACAAGAACTTTGAGGACATTATGCTGAGAGCTGAGTAGAATAAATAAGCCAGCCACAAAAGGCCAAATACTCTCTGATTCCATGCCTGTGTGGTATCCGGAGTGGTCACAGTCACAGAGACAGAAAACAGATCAATGCTTGTCAGGGGCTGAGGGAAGGGGAAAGTGGGGAGTCAGTGTTTAAGGGGGACAGTTTCATTTTGGGAAGATGAGAGTGTTCTGAAAATGAATGGTGGTAATGGCTGCACAAGGATGTGAATGTACTCAGCACCATAGCACTGTGTGCTTAAAAATGGTGAAAACGAAAAAGCTGTACGTTATGTATATTTTTAATTTAAAAAAATCACCAAAAAAAGAAAGAATATACATAGGCTAACAGACTTTTGGGTTGGAAGAAACAAGGAAGTGGGAATCAGAGAAAATTCAGGCCTGTTGCCTCATCTGACAGGAAACCTAAGACTCAGAGAAGAAATGGGGATCAGCCTAGGAGCTCAGGCTCAGAACCAGAATGAGGGCCCCACCGGCTGTGAGCTCCATTAGCGGGGGGACTAAGTCAGACTCGCCTCCCTCCTGTGTGCTCCAGTGTCTAGCACTTGGTAATGCACAATCTTCTGGTGTCTGAGGAAGGACTGAGTTAACATTCCTTCCCCCAAGTCAGTGGTTTTCAGCCCTGGCTGTACAAGAGACCTGCCCGAGGAGCTTCTGGGACACACATGACCCAGAGGTTTGGATTTAACTGGCATAGGAGGGGGTAGGTATCAATATTTTTAGAAAGTTTCCTGAGTGATTATGACATGCTGCCAAGATTAAGGACCACTGTTCCACATCATGCCCTCCTTGTGCTCTCTCCAGCTGGGCAGTGAGAGGCAGAGCCTTGGTAGTTTCCTCTGGGAGAGTACAATCTCTGGCTGGGTTCTCACTGGCTTATCTCATCATCCTGCCTGCTCTGTATCTGTCACAGCACAGCAGGGTGATATTCACTGCCTCAACAGCTCGTTGGTACAGGTACCAGAGCACCCAGAATACTGAGGTTGTCCTGTTATAGCCCTGAGCTGGAATGCCTCATGCCTGCCTGCCAATCTGCCTCCCCCATCACACTGACCTCTGAAGGCAGGGTCTTATCCATCTCCCCCTCCCCAGTTCCAAGGATGCCAAGTGCTACATTGCAGAGCTTTGTCAATCTCTAGTAAATGGTATTGGGACCATGTGGCTTTACTTTGCCTTAAAGTTATGTAAAGAGCTGCCTTGGAGGAGTCTGCAGGCTGGTTAGATGGCACTCTGGGTACCTTCCACTGGTCCTGTTATCTTCCTCTTAAGATGGGTGAGGGAGGGTGGTGACAGCTGTTATAGAAAAGGACATCCTATAAGGCAGGGATGAGAACTTGAAATTCATTCTCTTGTCTCTCCAGAGGAAGGGGAACATCCACAATTAACATTCACAAAGCATATTTGAAATCTGAAGCAAGAGGCAATAATGGATCTGTGTAGAATGTTGGGATTGATTTTTCTTTCCACCTGGTTTGTAGAGGCCAATTTGCCTCACTAGCAGACAGTAATCCAGAAGGCTCATTTCATACTATTGGGCATACTACCCAATGAGCTCCCTACCCACTGAAACCTCTTTTTTTCTTTCTCCACACCTGGCCTGGAGCATCCCTGAATGCCATTCCCTGGTGCTGGCACCTCTGGGCTCCTATCCACAATCAACTGTTAGGGAGGTAGAGGATTTGACTGTTTCCCCCCCCACGCTCACCAAAAGCATGCTGCTGAATGCAAAATGCTAATACCACCCTCTTTTGCCTTCTGGTGCTGGCTGTTTCTGAAGTCACTATATTTAACATCAAAGTGTTTAAAAAAAAAAAAAAAAAAAAAAAGCACTAGCCAAGAAACCAAGCCCAGTGGATTGGGAGGCTCCTCCCAGCAGGGATGTCTTAGGAGGGTGCATGGGAGGGGCTGCTGGGCAGGAGCACTATCACTGCTGTCAGGGTCAAGGCTTCAGGGCATCATGGCAGGTCCTACACCATGCAGGAGGTGGCTTTTCCTGAACGGAGAAAATGCCATGGCAACAGCAACCAGATAATATGCTACTCTGGCACTGAAGGTTTAATGGAAGCTATATCTGATTGCCCCAGCCCTGCCCAGCCCAGTCCTGCATGCCCCTGGCCATTAGCATTTCACCAGAGAGCTCAGCATTTTGCAACCAGGGTCACTGGTGTCTTAATCTTTACCCGCCCCACAGAACAGGAGGTAGGAATGGCTTGCCCATGCTCCCTGGAGTATTGTTTTTGCTGTTTTACTATGCTTTATTTTAGGATTTGACAACATATGTGACAAAAGAAATGAGATTGAACTTTGCTTTCCTCTGGCCTGGGGACCAGATGAAGGAAGGGCGCCCAC